TTAAATAATGCGATCATGCTGATCTTTAAACACAACCTCTGTTATCATAAAAATAAAATATCTATAGTTAAGCACGTAAAAGACGAACGTCGCAAATTATTCATATAAAACGGCAATCAGTATACATACACTGATTATTTAAATAAATACCAAATTATTTGTACCTTGTAACGAGGTTATGTAAAAGATCTGCAAATTTGTGCTAGACGAATTTTGACTTGTGCCTCTGTGTCAAAGTATTAGATAGACCCCGAGTCAGCGAGGGTTATGTGGCATCCACGAGGGATCTATCTTAGGGTCTATTCTCACAACTTTAGATCGATCTATCACCGCGGGGAGTCTCACCAGACTACCGTCAGATAATCCCCCTTAAGTGTCCGTCCCCGCCCACTACAAGCCGTAAGGGGCAATTAACTTTCGTGTCCGCCCGGCTGACAGCTATTCAGCGCGAACCCCCAGGGAGTTAGGTCGATCCAAAGTAGGTCGATCCAATCTATGGAAATGGGGTGTTATTTAGACCACGGTCCATTAGCGGGTTATAACCCATTCATGCTAGACGTGCTGTTATGCGAGTTACACCACGTCTGAGTCTTTTGTTCTTCACTTCCACCGTGGTCTAATCCATTATAACTGACACCCAATCTACACAAGCTTCCATTTATGTACATAAAAAAAAACAGGCAACAGTTATGTCGTTAAGAATTTTTAATTTGGCACCATCCATTTCAATTCCTAGTTCAGATGAAGAACGTTTCATCTCATTCCTAGTCTTACGTTTCCCCAAGCTCCTGCGAACACGATGATGCGGTAGATCCCCCACAGTGAAAAGAGAAATGGTCACCCTGCTTCGCTTTGGATAAGCCGACCCAGCCCAGTTTTTATCTCTCGCTGAAAACACTCGTTGATGTGACCCGTTATGACAGGAATGGTAGTCTTAGGAATGGAAGTCCGGGGTCCCGTATGATTAGTACTGGTTAGGGTTAGTCGTAGTATAGGGGTTTGTGTATGGGATGATTGTCACCTGTTTAAAGTAATGGAGAACGGACTAATGTTCCTAGCGGACTACCATTCCTGTTGGTTGCTGACACATGGAATGATATACACCCAAAGCATCCGTAAAAAGTAAAAGAGTTAATATTTAGTATTGATATTTTGTTGGTGTTGACTACCACAACATGTCAAAGTCTCTTTCTTATTTTAAATCTGGTTTTGTATTGTGCTTTTCTAAAATTTTGTATACACTTGAAAATGCAGGTGTTGTTTTCTCCAAATCTGAACTTTGATATTAACACCACAGCAGTGGCAAATGTAAAAAAAAAAAATAGTGTTTAAACATATTACTATATATTTGCATCAAAGAGTCGTTCCAAAGGTGTTATATAGATAACATTATGCAGATAAGAGAGGTCGGTTTCCTGCTGCAAAAAAACACCCTCACGTGACCAGACGCTCACATTGTCAATATTTTTTTCAATAAATGTATAGATTAAAGGTCTGGGACTTTCAGCCCCGATGTATAATGGGTTTTCTGCGTCTTTGTTTTTGTCAAGGCGGTAGATGGCCGTCACACTGTCGATTATATTGAAAACGAAAGTAGAAAATGAAAGTATTATTTTGCAAAATGTGAAACTCAACCTCAAAATTATCATCGAATGACTCGTATCTAAATAATGAAGCGAAGTCATTATGCCCGGTGATGCGTGATTTCCAGGATGATTATCGACGTGCATTATCAATGAAATATGAATGAAGTTTTATCTACGTTGATTTGTAAATTGATAATTTTATTTCCCTTGAACTATGATCAATACCCTCAGTGGGTCTCTCTACTTAGCCCCAACCCCCACGACCCCATACGAAAGGCCAATCTTATAAAGTATTAAAGTGAACAAACTTTAGGAATGGAAACAATATTCAGGGTTCCATTTTGACGGGAAGGGGGGGGGGAGAAGAGGCATTGATCACAATAAAAAAATCAATTCACAAATCACGGTAATGACACTTTACTTATATCTAAACTATGATGCGATACGAAAAAACCTAAAAATCATGAATCGTCGGGTATAATCACTTCGTTTCACGAATGGCGTTAAATAAAACGCCGCATTCACGAGTCTCGAAAATGGAATTAGCCTATAGTGTAACCGTTTCACGCATCTCAGAAAATAGAAAGTGGCTTTTACAGGTTATGAAAATATCCAAAAGGACACAAAAAACCAAACTATATAGGGGCATAAACATGGACTAACTTTGAAGGTTGGAATGGGTTTATTAACCACTGGTAAATTTGGGAAAATCGCAGTTTTTTCCCTCCTGGAAATCCATTTTGGCCAAAACGAACAGCTTTATTTCTTTTGGCTTTTAAAGAGTTTCAATGTCAAAGATAAATAAATGCATTCACCTGTAACCGTACATTGGACGAATTGCGTTAGTTGTCCAAATCGCATTCCTTGCTTTTGCCTAGGTGGAGAATTTACCTTGTTCTCAAGAATACGAAGTCGTAAAGTATTTATACACTTTAAAACACATAGAATTTTTTAAAATTGTGTTATCAATGAACTATAAACAGTATTTAACTGATTGGTACAATATTATAATGTATTTTGACTGATATTCTTATTTCTATATTTCGATAAATTAGGGAACGTGGTATCCATGCTCTTTCTTTTCGTCAGCCGCCATCATGGGTTTTGCTAACGTGTGGAACTCGCACCCAAAGAAATTCGGCCCAGGCTCCCGCACTTGGTAAGTAAACGAATTATACAATTGTATTTAGTAACTTGAATATGTTGACATCCTTTTTATAGTGATTATCGCAGTGTCTTATGTGATAAACGTCGAATTTCAAAGGATTTATTCGGAATGTTTTATATTAATTTGCTGGCAGTCTAGAAGGAGTGTTAGATACCAGCTTGGCAACGATTTTATATCCCTTACTCCTGTTTATTCATTATTCATGTAACGATAAAATAAAGATGAAATAACTCATTGTCATAGATAGACTTAAATAAAAGTATCACACATTGCTTTAAAACCATACTCGGAATACACTAATGTGCATCCACGCCATTTTTCTGAATGCTTGATAATGCTTTTCAGAGGAAACTTGTATGTTAGAAAAACGTGACGAATTCCAAACTTCAAAGCCAAAATATTGCATTGTTTGCTGTGTGTAGTATATTGTTAACCTCGTTTCTATTTACATTACAGCCGAGTGTGTTCTAATCACCACGGCTTGATCAGAAAATATGGTCTGAACATGTGCAGAAGATGCTTTAGAGAATATTCTGCAGACATAGGATTCAAGAAGGTGAGGATTTGGCGGTGTTAAGTCACTTTGCAGAAACACGGATGGGGTTTGAAGTGAACTTGACACATTTGAAAATTTCCCAAAATCAATTTTTGTTCCTACATAGTTTCCCAGTTTTGACCGTTAAGAATGTAACTGATGCTGATTGTTCCTTTTGAAATGTACAGGAAGATATTGCTTTAAAATTAGAATAAAACGGCAAATCTAAGTGTAGGGACAGGTTATTTGATGTAGGCAGATAAATCTAGCACATCTTTAACTACATTGTCATTAAGCTCTTACTGTATAAGTCTAACCACTATTGGGCTTTGAAGTTACACTAACCATGTGTAAAAGATTTTCATTTGGTATTAACTGAAACATAGGAATATTGACTTTATCAAGGCAGAGAGAAATTCCAATAAATTTGCAGTTACCAAAGTTCCTAGTTATGCAAGCATAGCTATGGTTCATAGTTAACACATCTATAATAAATGGGTTGATTTGAAATTTTATGGGTTTTATTTGCCTAATGGCTTTGAACATCTGTTCTTATAAGTCCGATTTCAAATATTACATTGTTCTGTATTAGCAACTACTATTTAACATAGATCAAAGATTTTAAATAGAAAGTTTCAAGTAAAATAAGTGAGTAAAGACTGTGTAAAAGGTGATCTAAACATCCATTGACCTGCACACTTGAAGATTTAATAAAAAATCGTTTTTCTACTTAGTGGCAACTTAAACAATTTAATTAAATAAGAAGCATGTATGTGGACATAGACCTTCACACCGTAGAGAAGTGATAATAAAATGTTTCATATTTCCTTTTTTACAGCTTGACTAAAGATTCCATGCACATTGACCCGAGAAGATGCATTTTACTTGTGAAGAAATGGCACCCTGGTGGCAAAACCTCACCAACCTGTGATGAAGGGCTGCGATGTTGATCGGTAGACATGGCTGTTCAGCTTTATACAGAAAAATTTGCCCAGAATCCTCAGAACTGTGTGAAAGAGCAAATTTAAAATGCATTTTTTAGGGTGTTATTATCATTTATGAAAATAAATTGTAAAAGAAAATTTGATGTGTGTTGTTTAATGGGTTGTGTGTTGTAGCCCTCTTCTATTGTTATGATGCTTTCAAGAAGTATTGAATTCAGATTTTTCTACCATTTGAGAGTTTTTGACAAAAAAGTAAAAATTTCTAGTTCACAACTAGAACACATCAAACAATCTGAATGCCAATTCTCATCTCTACCAGTTCGAGTACAATCGACTGTTGAACATTAAGCATGCCCCCCCCCACCTTCACATTGTTATAAGATTAAGCAGTGAATGACATTGCAATCGAGTGTTGCAACTGCTGAGAACTATTTGAAACTATCTTGGTAAACAAAAATTCCAAAATAAACTTGTGGCCTTTATTATTTCTTGACAAGATTGACAGTAACGTAGCAAACCTGAAACATTTCCCAGAGTAAAATGGTTAAACAACATTGCTAAGGAACCTGTTTTATTTGTTTCAGTCTCATGCAAATAAATAAATGTCTATATTTTGAACATTTAACACTTAAACTACTTGTCCTGTAGCTTCTGGTATTACCATAGGCTACAAGCTGTTTACTACCTCCAATTAAGGTCTGCAATGCCTTCTTCACTGTTGATTGCACAGAAAGAATGCTGCCATGATCGTGCTATTTCAAGTTGTTTGAGGTATGGATACACTTCAAGAAAAGGAAACCAAGCACTAATCTATTTCACTTTCACAAGGAACAACATCTCAGTTCTTCACAACTTTTTCCCCTCTATTTTCCTGCTTAAAGCATTAGGGGCAACCTAGTAGCTTCTTCCAAAGAGGCAGTACTTGATTGGCTTGGCCTTGCAGTCTGGGTGGATACACTTCATGTCTGCCTTTATATCCCCTGGCTGCTGGAACGGATAGCACAGACTTTTGGCTCCCATAGATGGCGCTCCCTCCTCCACCACTGCATCTCTGAAATCACACATACGCAGGACTCATTACACAAAAGTCAAAACATATTTGGGCGAATGCTTATCACATGAATGGGGAAACATGATTTTTTTTTCTACCAAAGTGTGCATTAATTTAGTGACAATTGTCTTGTGAGCTCAAATATAATTGTTTGGCTAAGTTGTTTTAGCCTAAAGTGAGTCTAGTTCATATGCCCTGCAAATGTATGTAATAGTCAAATTTGACAGAAAAATGGTCTCGGTAATTAATATTTGGGATGAAAACCGGATATCCATACATCTGTCTATTGCTTGAATACCTGCCACCATGACGTTAAGCTGATGTTCTTTTTATTTTTCTTTGAAATTGGAAATACATAGCAACCACTCAATAACTATTGGAAAGATAAATTTTCTTTCTTGAGTGAGTTTATGTCTTGGTTGACCATTAGTATTATAACTAACATAAAACAAGGGATGCGAACAAATGTATTGGGCATGGAATGTAATTAGCAGTTAGTGAATATTTTAACTTACTGAAGCTGTTTTTAATTTTAAAAAAAAAGAAAAAAAATCCTGGGCAGGGTATCTAAATAATAGGCATTTTAGTGCAGCCATAAAAAGTCTCAAACCATTCCAAGTTTCCAGGCTGAAAATCCAAATTAAATTAACATAACTAAAAAGCAGATGGCTAAGGCTGTTGGCACCATTCCATTAAATGCTCCTAAAACAAAAACTGCTGTTGGTTGCTACTATAGTAAAGATTTCCATAAATGTGGAACACACCATGCCAGACCAACCTGTGGCCCTGTGGCATCTGTACCGAGCAACAGAACAGACCATGGATCCAGCTAAAGAAACCCCGTTCTTCTGGACCACTTTTGGCAGTATAGAAGCTACAAGGTGACAGTCAAATACTTTCTTTAACCAGCAAGATGTCCTATATCTAAAGGCTCTAATTTTCTAACTGCATACAATGGCCTATTACAACCTTTGGAGCACCTTGTCTAATATATTTTCAAGATTGACATATTTTCTGTATCAGATACCCATTGAAGAATCAGGATAACAATGGTAAAAACTTTTTAAATAGATTTATTTTCTTATCAGATCTAATAATAATGTAAATACTGTACCTTGCACTATCCTTCTTGATTTTCTCTTCACACTCTCCCTCCCCACAGAATGGAGACATGATGATCTTCTTCTGGTCCAGCTGATGGCAGAAGTCCTGCCAGTCATGGCTCAGGGCTACATATTCATCTTGGATCTTTTTGGCTCTGCAACAGAAATTTTGTTAATATTTTAATTCATTTGCCAAAATATTAAACAAAATTGAAAATAAATAAATTATGAGAATTATAAATTAAAATACATGAATAGATTGCTTTAAATGTTGCTTAAATAAGTAGTAAATTTTTGCTTGTACTTCAGTAGAAACAACATCTTCATGCAAAGGATTGCCCACGTAAACACACATCAATTCATGTTTTTTCTTCCTTTTCTCCCCACGTAACAGTAACAATTTTTCATTATATGCAGCTTCCTGTGTGTATAAATTCTGGGAAGCATTAGATTTTGTGTAGACTTACTTGGCAAACAAAGAAGACTGAATGTCCTCCAACAATTTCTTGATTCCCTCTGCAGCACTGGCCTGTTTCAAGGTAAGTTTATCCCCGGTGTCTCGCCTCACAGCAACCAGTTCTCCATTCTTAACATCTCGTGGACCTAACTCAATCCTGACTGGGACACCCTAGGAAATATTGAACATAAAAACTTAAGTTAACTGATTCAGTCCATTGATCACTTCAAAACTATGTTACCACGTGAAAATCAACTAATTGGAAGATGAAACACAAATAATTACTAATTGAACTAGTAACTATGACACTGAAAAAATGACACCTATTTTTTTCACTCGTCCAATGCCAAACCTACAAGTCAATCACAATATATTGCTGTAACAATTAAGATAACATGTTGTGTTTTAGCATAACATTTGTAAGTACCTTAAGCTCCCAATGGTTGAACTTCCACCCTGGTGAGTAGTTGTCTCTATAGTCACCCTTAGCTTTGATTCCTGCCTGTACTAGAATATTCTCTAGCTCCTCACAGCTTTTTATAAGACTCTGCCTGTCTGCATCTGATAGTGAGGCAGTGATGCCACACGGAACCACGATGGCCTAGGAATAAAATAGAACATTAATCAGGGTGCTAAACAAACTTTCTCTACATCAAAATCCAAATTGAAACAAACTTTCTCTACATCAAAATCCAAATTGAGAGGAAATACAATTTTCTTAAGTCTGAAATGAAGGAAAAAAGTTCATGTGATGATATATAAACCTTATGAAAAATTCAGTGCCATATAAAATAAAATGTATAATTCTGATATATTTTAAAATTTTGAGACATTTTATCCTCATGGACTCATTATATTTTTAAATATTTTTGAAAACTAAAGAAGACCTACCAATGTTTGAAGAACATCCGCAATTTAGAAGTAAATCTTCAGAATACACATAATAAAAATGTCAAAAATAAAAGCTGCAGACGTCTTACCTGCACAGATGCTACTCTAGGTGGCAGCACCAGGCCTGTATTGTCTCCATGCACCATTGCCATGACACCAATGGTCCTGGTGGTGATACCCCACGAGTTCTGGTGGACGTGCTCCATCTCCTGAGTGTCTGGGTTCTCGTACATTATCTCAAACATTTTTGAGAAATTCTGACCCAAGTGATGGGATGTGGCTCCCTGAAAGAAAAACAAGCAAAAACTTATAGATCATAAAATGAGCCATATTTTTTTATTAATAACAAACAGACAGTCTTATTGATAAATTTTAGTTCTCTAAGGAACAAACTTAATTTTTTTTTCAAATATATATTATACATATCATTAACAATTTCTTGAAAATATTAATTTTAGTGAAATTGCAAATCGGGTTTCACTAAAGCATCATAATTTATATTAAAAAAAAACCTTTCTATATTCATTCATCACAGAGATCAATACCTGAATTCCTCTACCACTAGCAGAAATGTATATTTCAGTGGTTGTAGTGAAGTCTCCTCCAGCAAACTTCTCTTTCTCTGTTTTTCTTCCCTTTATTACAGGAACTGCCAGCAGCTCTTCATACACTCTGGCATACAGATCCAAGATCTTAAAGACCTGCAATAAATAAAATATGTTCATTGTTCACTGTAGTATAGATTTAGATCTTGTGCAGATCAGTATACATCAATTTCTTCTGTCCTTGTACATAAGGAGCAGAGGGGGTCTGAAAAAAGTCCACACTTGTAGACTTGTGAAAATAATGGTTAAAACGAATGACTCCTAATGACTAAAATTTTTTCCTGAAATTAACATCAGCATAGACCATCATTACTTCATTGATCTACAGAATTATCTTTTAAAACATAATTCTATAGGTTATCTGGTGGTTATCCCTGCCTACCTCATCCTCAGCCTCTGCTCTGGTAGCAAATGCTGTGTGTCCTTCCTGCCACAGAAACTCTCTGGTTCTCAGGAAAGGCTGAGGATGCTTGAACTCCCATCTCTGTAATACAGTACATTCATATGTTGTAATATATACAGATAATGTAGAAATTTCTGCCTTATTTAGACCAAATCAATATTTTATATTCCATCAGTGAGAAAAAAAATTGCAGAAAAGCCAAAGGAATATATGTTTTACATTTCTGGTGGTCAAATAAGAACAAATTCATCATTTGACTAAATTACACTTTGCTCTTGAGAACCCTGACCAAGGATTTTACCCTCTTTAAAAATTTTCGACTGATGTAAACATCAGATATTACAACATTCATTTAATATCTACCATAGCATTCATTTACTATCTGCCACAGAATTTATCTAAATTAATCCCTACTTTAAATGCAATCAGTACTTACTACAACATGTATCCAATACCTACCACAACATTGCACCACTGGTTCAGTCTGACAGGCAAGTCTCGGTGGGATCTGATCCATTTGGCATAAGATGGGTACATCACAGTTTCGCTGGTTGGACGTATGGCAATAGGCTCGTTCAGATCTGATTGGCCAGACTTCGTCACCCAGGCAACCTAGGTTTAAAAAGACTGATGTTGTTAATATAACATCTTGGTTTATTCTTGAGATCTTTAGATATGTGCTACAATAATTCGATTTGAAAAAAAAAAAAACATGAACAAAATGAATATATTGAATAAAATGATTTGAATCTAACTTTTACTGTAAAACTGTAACAGTTTATTTTTTTTCAATTTCTATATTTTCTTTTATATGGAAAATCCTGCCATAAATCTGGCCACCTACTTGCTAAAGAAGAAAAAGAAGTCAAAATTTTTGTTAAAAACTAATTTATTCAAAAATTTTAATGAAGAAGGTTGTATAAGGACAAACTAAAAACTATAATTGTTATAAACTTCACAAAACATAAACAACCACTTACCTCTGGGGCAAAGTCAGCAATGTGTGTCTTCTCCCTTTCCAACGCAGCATGGGAGACAAACATGGGGAAGTAGCAATTCTCAACACCTAACTTCTTGATCTCTGCATCAAAGAAATTTTTGATCTCGTCCCAGATAGAATAGGACCATGGACGCAGAATGTAACAACCGCTCACATCATAGTATTCTATCATTTCTGCTTTTGTAATCACCTAGAAAATAAGTAGAAAATAAACAACTTACCATGAGCTCTGTATCTTTGCACAATACAGAAATTTTAAATATTTCGTCTACCACAACTACTGTGTGTATTGACATACTGATACAGAACACACTTTCTATTCAGGATGGAAATTCACACACATGGGATGGGAAATTATTAAAGGTCTCAACAACTCATATAGTCATAAAACAGGCCGTCTTCTATCTAGAGTACAATTTTAAATTCTTTTTAATATTATCACTAACACCAATCTTTGGGGATGTTGTTGCCTTCAATTTTTTTTTTTGTTTCTTGTAAACAATTGGACTTTACAAAAAATATTTTTATTACAATTTGTGTTTAATTAACACTTCATGTACCTGAGTGTACCATTCTGAAAGATTTTCTTCCTTTTTGGCCTCTAAACCCAACCTGAAAAAGAAAAAAATATATAATATAGTTAAATTCTTTGTATCACAATAGGTGCACATGCATGTTGATATATCTAACTTTTTGAAAAACACTTTATTGTGAGAGTAATTTTTACTCTTATTATCCTTGCTGCATACATATTATTATTATAATTACTGCCATTATATAACCAATCACTGGTTACTGTTTAACATGAACTGTTTTTTATTTTGTAAAATGGCTTAACTAAATGAAACACAGCATGCATCTGTGCCAATAAGACTCCTACCTAGTGACCTTCTTCACTTCCCTGCCTGCATCTTCTTTAGCTGGCTTCTGCTGTTTTGGTTCAGCTGCCTTGCTGCCCTTATTTTCTTTCTTCCCTTTTTTGTCCTTCCTTCCACCACCACCCCCAGCAACATCCTCTCCCGTCAGTTGTTTATATTCTGCCTTGAGGCTCAGGAGGACCTTCACTTCTTCATCTACCTGATCCTGTTCAAAACATGAGAGATGCTTGCATAATTTCTTTCCCAGAGTATTATTGGCTCAAAGAAAATTCAGGAGGCTTGAATGTTGACAAACTGTGCCATCGCAAAACTTGATATCCTGTCACTCCTGCTCATTTGAATAATAAATTCCAGATATAAAGCTCTACGATGACACACAGACACCAAAATATTGGAGTGCAAATAATAACTCTGAGTTTGGCTTTTGTTTTGGATAACAAACAAACAATCACTACTACTGTGTACTCATCCAATAAATATATGTAAAATGCTTAACATCAGGAATTATTTTCACTGTTCCTAACATAATAATAAAAAGAAATATTACACAGATATGAAATGAGTTTACATTTAAGTCAGTGAAACCACCTTATATCATCATTCCATGCAACACCACTCACCTTGGGTGCACCACCTGTCTTGAGCTGCCTCACTTTTTCTCCCTGTGCCTCTATTTTCCCCTTCAGAGCCAGGGCCTCTGGGCTCCCAGCGGCAACCCCACTATTCTCCTTATTGTCTGCCATCGCTGGTGTCGTCTGCTGCTGTTGTGGTATTGTGAGACCTGGTTTCCAGTCAAGACCCGTGGACTGCTTAAACTGCTCTTTAAGCCCCAGCAGAACTTTCACTTCTGGGTCAATTTGGTCCTTAAGAGAAAAATCAATAATTGTGGTGACTTTGATAATGTAACAACATGTGTTGAATTATATAAATTTGGGGAATAATCTTTACGCTTTTATTTTACTCAAATTATATATATATATATATATATATATATATATATATATATATATATATATATATATATATATATATATATATATATATATATATATATATATATATATATATATATACTGTGTATTGAGTACCATGTATTGCAATATACCTTCTGTGTATTGCAGCATACATGTACATAGTGTGTACTTCTTAATACACAATCTGACCTCACTGATAACAGAAAGTACATTTCTTGTTCCAAGCAGCCAAGTCTTCTTAAAACTTTTATCATTTACATGTCTAATAACATCTCTCACCTAATTTTTCTCTGCCAAAAGAGCAAAATCTCAACCACTCAGATGTACCAACGGTGGGGAATACACGTTGGCAATATAGGCACAGCTATGCAAATACCTTTAACATGTATCTGAATTTACTGCAGTCTATGTACATATCTACCTCACTTCATATTAAAGTACAATGCTCATAGGGAGTTATTAAGCATAGTATATATTATAGTAGCACATGCAATGTTAGGGTTGCCTACTCACAACATAGTGTACGCATTATTTAATAACAATTCCCATTGTTTTTACTGTGTTCTCCTATTGTTAATGACACAGCACACATTGCAGACTTTGCATTTTGAGCCCAGTAATTACCCACACATAGCAATCATCATATTCATGAGGTCTGGTGTCTTAGCACTGTATAATGAGGCTCCAGACAAAGAGAATACATTGCACACCTAGGGACACCTGTAATATATATAGGTCAACTCTCTTTGGACTGCTTTAAGTCATTCTCGCAAAGCATCTGACTACTAAACTGCACCCCGAGTTGGTACAAATCATGATTGAGACAGAGAAGTAAAAACACATACCCCTTTCTGTAACAACCAGCTAGTTTCCCCCTCCCTCTCTATCCCTCCATCACACAGACCCTGTACATGTGTCAACGTGGCTGACTATAAAGGAATCCCATATTGCACTGTTGTGACCTAGTTTATTGCACTGCTGTGACCCAGTTTCTGGCTAATTCAATAAAGCAATGCAAAAGCTCCTTTCACTACACAGGTATGAGCAGTGGTCTAAACACAGTTGTTCATACACCTGTAGAAAGGCAGAGTGGATGACCAAGTGTACTACTGGCTCCCCTTGGCACACTTCTTGGGTTTATCAAATAATATTATTTTCTTTGAAAGTTTATATCATAGAGATTCTAACATTTACAAAATACCACACATTGTTATCATCAATCATTATAAAAATATTCTTCTACTAAAATCCATCACTTCATTTTTCAAAGTTTGATACCAGATGTCTACAATGTAACCTTTTCTCAAATAGATAAGATAAAACATTTTCTTTTGTGAAAATGAATAAAATAGATGTTTATTTAATTTTTTTTGATTTCATACATTTTGATAAAATATTTACATAAGACATAGGAAGAGCTCTTTAGAAAGGCAAATGGAATCAAACGAGATATAACTTCTAATTTATCTACAGAAAAGATTTAAATGCCACTATTTATTTTTTTTAGGTCTCATTTATCACTTTCAAATTTCTCATTTCGCAAAAAATATCCAGATATTTCACTAAAAGAAATATTATCATGAGCTGAGGACAAAAAATTGGTACTGCTAAATGCAATCAGATTAACACACTTCCTTTTGTTTTCAACATATTTGCATAATCACCAGCTTTTTTGTATTCTACTCAATGCCAGGAGGAGGCAAGTTAATCTTTAAATCGGATTGTATTCATAGCCCTGCAGAGTAAGTTAAAAGAATTTATACAATAGATTCATTGAAAGCACCCCCAGTATCCTTGGTGAAGCACTCTATCTGCAAGTTGAAATTACTACAACTAGACACCAGTGTATTCATTTACTCCACACCACTCAGAGTTCGTTTCTGTCATGAGATAGCTTTTAGGTGATGCAACAGTTAGGATCAATTCAGTATTTTTTTAATACATTGATGCTTTAGCAACATCTATCAGTGACATTACAGGTCATTGCAGTTCATGGAATACTTTTATCCAAAACTTATAATTTCTGAAAAAAAAAAAAAAAAAAAAAAAAAAAAAAAATTTGTGGCCACACTCTTGATCTTGTGTTGGAAAGTTATTAAATTGTAACACCACCTGAGGTAAGGCACCTAGTCTACTTGCCGACCATTATAAGATAAACACTATGCTAGGATGTGGCAGACCACAACAAGTGTCACTGTACACCTACCCCAAGTCAAAGTATAGGATAACAGTATGAACCACTTTTATTATAGCTCCCCTGGGTGCTGGTCTTTTTCAGATATTTCAGCCACACTCCTATTGATGATNAAAAAAAAAAAAAAAAAAAAAATTTGTGGCCACACTCTTGATCTTGTGTTGGAAAGTTATTAAATTGTAACACCACCTGAGGTAAGGCACCTAGTCTACTTGCCGACCATAATAAGATAAACATTATGCTAGGATGTGGCAGACCACAACAAGTGTCACTGTACACCTACCCCAAGTCAAAGTATAGGATAACAGTATGAACCACTTTTATTATAGCTCCCCTGGGTGCTGGTCTTTTTTTCAGATATTTCAGCCACACTCCAGTTGATGATTATGTATTCAAAACACCGCATAGGGTAAGTACCCCCTTTTACAATTTGCACCAGTTTAGTAATTGCAGATCATTTAAATGTGTAATTAAAACAGAATTACAGCTATTTTAATTTAGTTTAAGACATTCTGCTATCTCACCTTTGGTGCTTTCTGGCTCTTCAGGTCTCTTATCTTGTTTCCCTGGGCAACAATTTTCTCGTTCAATTCTCCTGCATCTGCCCCAGCAGCCGAAGCACCAGTAGTGGCAGGTGCCTCCTTAGGCTTACTTTCTCCCTTGGCTTTCTGTTTCCCCGCATTCCCTCCATTGCTGGCTGGCTTCCAGTCCTTGCCTGTGGCAGCTTTATAATCTGCCTTCAGAGCCAGGAGAGTTTTCACTGCAGCATCCACCTCGTCCTGAAAATATAGGATTTTTTTAAACAATACATACAACAGTTGTAGTTAATTTCGTTTAAATGATAACCCAATCATATAAATGAATTGTAAGGTGAAAAAACTGCATGCATGCAGACAGACTTGTCCTTTCCTGAAATAACTGGTTTTTACTCCTGGCCATCACTATTATAATTGTGTTACAACTTGTTGATTCTTTGGCCTCATTTTTTTATTAAACATTTCTAATAACCAGGGTTAATCCTTTGGCTCATCTTCACACTTGTTCAAACAGTTGGTGCAGTAAAACGTAGTAGCTCTTAGTTATCAAAATAGTTCCCTAAAAACAACAGCTAAGATCAGAGTAATCTGCATTTCAATGTTTTTGTTTCTGCAAAGAGGAAATTATCGTAGAAACTGAGTGTAAAACACAGCTGATTAAATTCTACACTGGAGAAGCAACTCCCACACACAAGAATCCATTACCTTAGCAGCTTTTTGGCCCTTGAGTTCCCGGACTTTATTTCCCTGTTCAGTGATCTTTTTATCCAAGTCTGCAGCATCTCCAGTCAGTGTTGGGGGCTGCTCCTCCTGGGGTGACTTCTCTGCTGCTTTGCCTTTCTTACTCTGGGCCTTCTACAATGGTTAAAAAAAAATAGTCTTGCTTAAAATGAGGTACGTGAATGACCCATTTTGACAAATTTAGGTACAATGGGGGGTGGTAATAAGCTGTTTTTCCATTCTTATCCTCTACCTGAGGAAAAAATAACTGACTCCTGGACGCCACAAAATAATAATTTTGGGGTTTAGCTAAGTCTTAGCTAAGACTAATATCATACTTTAGCCATTTGTGAAATAGGCATCTGCTTCAAATGAGGCAAGTGAATGTTTGCAAATGGAAATGTAAAATTTATTTGCAAGAATGAGAACTTCTTAGTTGCTTTGCTTTTAATTCAGTGCCTAATCAGATAAAAAAAATTTCAATTTAAGTGGACTGCTATAGATTCACCCAGTGTCAAAACAGACTTTAATTTACTTAAAGCTAAGACCAACTTTAATCTTCTATTTTTCTGCGAGACTGGCCTCTGCTTACCTCTTTGGCTCCAGTGTCTTTGGGTTCTTTGTGTTTTGAGCCAGCTTTTGGCATCTCCTTGACATGACCATCTGGGATGTTGATCAGGACACATGGACTGGCTAGACTGGTGTAGCGACTGGGAGGGTGAAAACAGAACTGGACAGTAAAACTGGCATATACACATATTTCAATCAAAAGATACAAAACATACAAAACCAAATTGAACCTGCATTTTATCACTGTGTATCATTAAAAGGCTTTTAATTAAAATTTTTGAAATAAAAAGTTGACCATGATGATTTACCTTGGGGGTTCATATGGTGAGTCACATACAAAATAACCCCTTCTCTGGATCTGAATCATGTCTCCTTTCTTCAGAGACATCAACTCTGGGTCTCCAACCATCACAGACTCAGTCTAGTTATCAAAAATGTATAAATCACAATTTGTGTACATGGATATAAAGAAAGAATGTCATTAAAATACATTCAAAATGAGCAAATTTATTATTTTTCACCAACCTCTTGAAAACAATGAATCGAAATTATAACCAAGAGAAGAGAAGATTAACTTTAAAGAGCCATTTGCCATTTACTTAAAAGACATAACATTACTATGCTAAATTAAGTGAAACTTTAAATTTATCTGAGATTAAATGAATAAGTAAAATAAATTTACCCTAGAGTTTCTATTAATGTAGTCTTTAAAGTCATCTTCCTTGGCCAGCACAGGTTTGCTGATGATGTTGTCATAATAAATGCAGAGAGTAGGAGTCATGGGAGATTTCTCAGTGTCAGCCAGCCAGGTCACTTTCTGGGTCTTCTTGAAATCCTACAACAACAAAATTGTATTATATTCCTTGCTATTTCTTATACCCATCTGCTGAAATATGTATCAACTATTCTGTAAAAGCAGTTATTAAAACAAACTTTAAAATGTTTTAAATACAGGAATAAAACCAGGTTACCAACACTAACTTTCAATGATAGGACAAAGTCCATATATGCCAGCTATGCCACACTTTCACTAATAAAAATAAACCTTACTTCATGTATAGCACTGCATTTTACCTACAGTAACACATAATTAAGCTACTGTTGAAATTAATTTACTGTATTGTCCAGTTTCAGCTCAGCATCCAAAGATTCCACTTTCCCATCATTATTCCTATTAAATAAAAAATTTTAAACAAAATTTAATCCAAAATTCTTTAACATATCTCTGAAAGTGGGTGTATATATAAATATATACTTAAAATTTTTTGCTCTTTATGTCTATAACACTTAGGATAAGTGATAAAACTCTGTACAGCATTAATCCAAAAGCAAAAGGAATCCACCTAAAAACATTTAATTCTAATTATATCTTTGACAATAACCAAATAACATACCATAAACTGGGAGTATGAAAATAACTGAATACAAATCATATCCAAGATTATAAGAACCCCTAGACAGAACCACTCACTTGTTTATCTTGGTAATGACCAAGTTGCCCCAGTTAATGAAAGTAGCCATTTCTCCCACAGACAAGTGCTCAGCATCAGCGCCATCTATGAACACAGTAGGTGAGAACCAAACTTGCTTGGTGCCAACATCAGGATTCTGTAATCAAGGAAACAGCATTATGCATCTTCATATATAAATTTTTAGGATAAACCATTTGCATATACTTAAAGAATATATCCAACTCATTAGACACACACTCACACACACACACACATTCTTTAATTATAGTAGATAAGATGATTGTATACCAAACTCCGTGTGAATGAATGTTAAATGAATAAAGCCGGCATATATACAGACAGCATGTTGAGGTCTAACCAAACCTCTACTCCAGGACAATGTGACCTCTATTCTCTTACCTTGGGATGCCTGGCCACCTCCTTGTGTCCCACTGTGGCTCCCTTCACAGACACCGGGACAATCTCAGACTTCAGGAGAGCTGTGTGCCTGGGCACCACTGGATCTATGACCTGGAGATATTGATAGGAGAACTTAAAATAAGTATTTCATTGTGTTAGCATACAGAGACAGACAAATCTATATTCAAGTTGTTGTTGTTTGTAAAACAGCATACGGTCAAGCAAGAATGAGACAAAAATTTCAAGTTGGGGGAGGGGGGAGGCCATCTTTGGACCACAGGACAACTACTGGCTCACCCTAGCTTAGGGGATGCTAATAAAACAAATGTTAGATAGGCAAATTATATTTCATTTAATACTTATTTAACTCTTTTTTATTGATTTAGTTTTTACATTAAAATCTGATTTGGCTAAAAATATCCAGATATTTCACCAAATTTCATCCTAATGTGAGCCCAATTCACAGTTACACATCTTAAACCCTTTGTAGAACCATTTTTTTTGTAAATTTTTAACTGGTAAACCATGTTCTCATTTAAGTACATTACCACTTATTTATCTTGGGTCAAAACCAAATAAAAATTTTGTCTCAAAGTTAAAATGAACTTCCAAGTAAACTGTTTTTTGAAAATTGGCCTTGAATCAAATTTTCTGGAGATCAATTACATTTTGTATCATAAAATCAGCCAGGATTAATAATATATCCATAGTGGTTCATATATTGATTAATGATAAATACCAATATATTGATTAAAAAAAAGATAAAAATCAAAATGCGGATTAACGATATCCTGACCTAAATACAACCAGCTGTCTATCAGAACAATAATAAAGTTAGCAGTGACTGAATTTTGCAAATCTAACAGAAAACTAGTGAACAGAAAGAGTAAAATAATTAAAGAAAGGTATTTCAGCTGCTAGATATCTTTAGAACATGTTAAGTGGAGCACCTTTTTGTTGTATGACCAAATCTTGTCCCAAGACATCATGTTCACAGACTTGGATGAGCCCTGAAAAAAAAAATTATTATGGTTAGAAATGGGGAAATTTATGCTGCAGAAATAAAATTGGGAATTACATGTTAATTTGGAAGCAAATATCTCAATATTGAGGAAATACCAGGGGAGACATGATAACTTGCAGAGATCAAGCACTTAATTATGCAAGCTTAATGATAATAGTTTAATTTCAATGAGGACGTACACATGTGAACTCCCACGTAAAATGGCATGACGTAAAAGACGCTATAACAAGCTACAAATTAATGGGCATGCAGCTGGCTGCTAATGTATATCTTGTCTAATTACCTGGGCAATGATAAATTGCTTGAGACCTTCAACAGTCATTCCTCTTCTCAATATTCCACGTACAGTGGGGAAACGTGGATCATCCCTGGTACATAAAACAAACCATTACGACAGGCAAACTGTTATCATTATTTGTGTTATTTGAAAAACGTGCACAGAAATGTACCAAAAACCTGCCCAGGTTAAAGTGTAATTAAACTGGTTTTTCAGTGCATTCTCTAAATTTTTACAAGTGCACCTCAATTGTGATAAGCAAGAAAAGTTTAACTGACATTTTAATTTTCAAGTTGATGGTGTCCTCAACACTCACCAGCCCTCAACTAGACCTTCATTGGCAAACCAGGTCAGCTTTCTCTTGGACAGAACAGTGTTCTGAAGGTTCAAACGACTGTACGAGTAAATGTAGGGTTTTCTCATACCTACAGAAGAAAAAATTTGAATTGAAAAAGAAAAATAAATAAATAAATAAAATTGACCATGTTATTTATGTTCTGTTATGCAACTATTACAGAAAAAGTGACTTCCATGTGCATGAGAACAACATTTTGGGCTAAAAGCTAGGACCGCTTTTCAGTCTACAGATTTTTAGTAAAACTGATTTTTAGTCCAAGTGTCTTACCCAGGGCATCCAGAACCCAGTAATACTGCTCATCTCTGTCCAGATACTCAGTGGTCCTCAGGGCATGGGTCACATTCTCCAGGGAGTCCACTATGGGACAGGCAAAGTCATAGGTTGGGTAGACACTAGGAGAAAACAAAGGAAACTGTAAGCTGGGGTTTATATATAATTATAATACAATTATAGGTTTGTGACAAAAAATTACAATCAAATAATAACAATAATAATAATAATTATTATCATATTGCACACTAATCAGTTTCAATTACTTTTACCTTCTTCAAGTGATTCTATGTAGAGTGAACCCAGGCAATGCTGGAAACAGCTTGCAATTTCTCATTACATTTAGACAAAAAAAAAAAAAAAAGATTGATCAGAAAATCCTGAAATCGGGCCTAAGTCCATGAATATATCAGTTCACCAAAAACCACCAATGACCATACAATGTATGGCAAAATCAAAAGGCCAACTGGCCCTTCAGGTCAACCAAGTTGGTTTTAGCATAAAGCAGAAACAGTGGCAAACACATAAAACTTCACTGCCCTGGCTTCAATTTCACTGGTATTTGGTGTAGGGCACATGTAACGTGTTGCAGACTGTCCTTACTTGTATTTGTTCCCAGTCCTGAGATGCGGCTCTGGCTTACACCTGTAGATGGTAGGGTCACGCATGCAGCCGTTCTTGGAATTCATGTCAATTTTGGCACGAACGGCACACTTGCGCCCGAGGTCACTTCCCTTCTTCATCTCTTCCCAGAGTTCAAGGTTTCTGGCAACAGCTGTAAGCATGAGAACAAGGTATATTGTTAAAGTATCATATCAAAGAGAAACATGACAGAACTGCCTGTATCTGACTCTGAATAAGTTCAATAGGAAAACAAGGCAGCAAAGCTGTCAAATGTACAGACAAAAAACAGGAAATAACTATGCACAAAATAGGCTACTGTCATTTGTGATGCAAAGGTACATTATGTGAATGATTGAATCTGACAAACCNGATGCTTGCATTTGATTTGTCATTTGTTTGCAGAAATATGTAATAAAACTGTATGTTTGTATAAAACAATATTAACAAGTACATTTTTCTATTTGAGACCTTATACAGTTTGCCTCAGAACAGTTGTATGACTTTATGAAAATATACAAATCACCTTCAATGCAGTATAAAGAAAGATGAAATTGGGATCTGTAATTAACTACATACATATATTTAAAACATTTTAGTTGAACTATAATTGCTAATAGATGATGAATTTGTTAGTAAATAGAGTATGATTATGTGCTAATTACACCGAGTGCAGTTCCTAAATTGTAACTAATATTAATTTTTTTCTCTTGATTTCCCCAGGCTGACAGTAATGGAACTGGTGCTGTTGGTGCCATGGAAGCAGCTAATTTTATGAAGAAGTCTGGACTTAAAGAAAAAACACTCTCACAGGTGAATATAGTCCTGATTGACAGATGCATGTTAAAACTGCCCGTGCGATTTGCATAGATGTGTATAACTTAATGTAGTTTAACTTTACTGAATATGGCATCTAGCATTATAAAATTGAAAAATGAACTTGCACATTTTTTCCTTTTTTACTCAGTATAAAAATGTTAAGCATTCCAATTTATAACAATACTGAAATAAATCATAAGTTTTAAAAAAATTCCTTTCTCTATAGATTTGGGATCTGGCAGACCCCGCAGGAAAGGGTTACCTGGACAAGCATGCATTTTTTGTGGCCTTAAAGTTCATTGCCATGGCTCAGAATGGATTAGAAGTCTCTATGGCCAACATAGGTGCTCATACGCCACCCCCCAAAATGGTACGTACCCTACTTTTTCGCTTCTTAGAAAGCTTTCTTTTTTTTTAAAAAAAAGCAAACCTTTTTTTGGGGGGAGTGGCTTGACTGTTTTGTTCAAAATGGATGTTAACTCATATTGTCAGTAGTAATATAATATGTGATTTTCCAAACTGATAAGTGCTGTGCAAACATTATTAGAGTACTATATCAGTACTTACATCTTTATATTAGAATTTTGTACCATGAATGAAATGTTTAAAGCAAAAAGTTGTAATTAGGGCCAATCAGTAGTATTCCTTGGGAAGAGACATTTTTATTTATAGCAGTACAATGACCAGTTGATGTATTTCAAAAATACAGATATTTTAGGTGGAGGATGTATTGTGTGAATGATTTATTCCAAGTATTCGAACACATCATCCAGTCAGGTCTCTTGAAGCTTAATAGTGGGGGGGGGGATTGGTTTAAAAACTCTACTGTTATTGAACATTGACGCAGATGCGTGTTACTATCATAGCCTGTAGGGTAGTAGAAAGGCATGCATTTACAGTTTTTCATTAAAAAAAAATTTTTTTTGCAAGTTTTTTTTCTTTTTTCTTTTTAAATTTTATGTCAGATTGCAAGGGTGCCTTTCACGTAAACACTTCATGTCAGCATATCAAAAAATTAAGTTATGGCTTACATTAGGTTGGGTCTAAAATCTTCATTTTGTTAGTCTGTTTGTCATACATTTTTACATTCTGGTCTAACACTATTAAGTTCATGACTATGTTAATCAAAAACTTATGCACGAGTGAGCTTAGCCTCAAAGAATCTAGCGTACATTTACAGAGTAAAAATTTTCAATAATCCCTTAGTGCTGTCCTGAAGATTGCATAAACGTGTGTTCTTAATCATCTCTCACATACAGGTGATCCAGGTAGATCTGTGATATAGTCTTCTTCATGGCAGTAAAGGATTATGATTAATACTTTCATTTACCCTGGGGTGTCATGGTGTTGTGGTCTCAATAGTGCTTCTTTGAAGCATTTTCTCAGGGGAGAAGCAGTGCGAAATAAGTTGATGTCTGTTTTTATCAAGTGATATTAAAGCTGCAGAGATAGTATTAATTTTCTGTGGAAATGGAGAGTTGTTGCATAAAATCCTAGGCTACAAAAAGGAGATTTTCACTAGTGAGTGTAATGAGGTGCCTTTAATGCTGTTGTGAGTTTAGAATCTTACTTTTTGAATTTTACCTGGCAGAAAATGTATTTTGATTACTTTCACAGCTCACAATTTTGCGTATAAGCATAAAAGTCAAATGAACTCATGGGTGTTTGTCATAAGAATTATTCACTCAGCCCAAAGCCACATTATGTAAAGACTTTAGCTTTCCAAAAAATGTTTCCTGTGGCCAGTTCAAGTGAGTAGCAGTTATCTGCAGACTGATAAATGAACTTGTTCGCCTTTTTGAAAAGCGAGCAATTAATAACCTTGATGAATGGGCATTTCAGTATAAGATTAGAAGCAGTTAGTTTTTGAACTGCCCAGAAACAAAACTGAATCCATCTTTGGCCTGGAATAATGATAGCCTGCACACCATTAACCTGACTACGCCTTCCGAGTTTCCAGTGGTTGTGTTTCAGGCTTAGTAAGTGGTGTTGCAGTTCCTTCTTTGACTGCTCTTCCATGTGTAGGCATAGCTCTTTGCTGACTGGCCAGCATGAAGAAATGCAGAAAAAGTGTGACTTTTACAGCTTTATGTACATATGTAGGTAGATTGATGATTGGTTGTGTCTCATTGGAAATTTATTTGATGATTTATGTATGTACATATATAAATGCATCTATGTACGTTTGCATGATTGTTGTCAATAGTTTTAATATATTTTTCTGACAGATTTTGTTTATGGGTCATGCAGAAAAAATGCTGACCAGAAAGAAGTGAGAAGGGCGTAGATTGTGAATTAAATGAACACATTAGTAATGGAAAGGAAGGGGAAGGAACAGGAATGTTCTTTACATAATTATTTGTTTTGAAATTGATACATATTTAAAGCAGAGATGAAAATTTCAATGGCATCTTGCTTTATATACAATTGTCATTACTGTGTCAAAGGTTATCAAATAAACGGTACAGCGGTAATTGATGCTGGTGTCAGTAGGAAGGGGTCACTATAGGTAGTTAAGGGAGGTGAAAAATAATGTGTGGTATGCATTAAAAATAATGTATGTTTGTATGTGAATGATAGTAGCTGGTGAGGGTGAGAATATACTCCTTGAGTGGTCAATGATAACTTAGTAGTAATGTCTCATTTGTGGTCAATATTTATATTTATTGATCATTATTATCTATTTAAATGAGATAACAATTAAGATAAGATATTGTGGAATAATTGCAAATGAACAATGGATATTTACCCATTTCTGTATGATCACCACATGTTGTACATTATAAGGTAATTGACTATTTAGATGGCTATATCATGTTTTATAATGTATACATTATGTTATGCATATATAATTGATGTGTGTAAAAAATGGAATTGAATCATTTACCTGATTTGGTTCAAGCTCTTGTAAGTCATCTGTATGCTGTAAACACAATAACGTAATTACCTGCAGCTGGTGATCACCCTGGGTGTCAGTCTGGTGACAGTGGCTGAGGTCTATATCTCTTAGTGTTAAGCCAGCTGGTAACATTTCTCTGACACTCAGGGTTTCTGATGAATAACCATTTGTTAGTTGATGCCATTTTTACACATTTACTTTAAATTCAGGTAGGATGTATTGGCAGATATGTTTAACCTAATGAACCTTTTTATGTTTTTTTTTCCAAGTTGAGCTTATAACTTGAGCACATCGCAGTATAGTCGTATAGCCAGGAAGAGTTTATGATCGAAGCGTTGTACTAAAATACAAGATTATTCATTGTCACTTAGACATATTTCTAATAATTTCAAATGTTATGTTCCAGGGAGAACCAGCAAGTCCTGCCATGCAGCCTTTAGGTGCAGCTCCAGCAGACTGGGCTATTAAGGTATGCACTTGGGTCTCAAAAAGTCTAAACTCTGGGGTTTACCATGAACAATAAGGACAGATTATACTGTTGCATCAAAGATACATTAAGACAAATTTGCTTGTTCGAGCTGATGAATTAACCGCAGGGTTTTTGGGGTAGTAAATTGTGATATCACTTACAAAGAGATCTCCCTCACCCAAACTTCTATCAAAGCCGTTTAAATGTCCATTTAAGGTGGGGATGTAGGTTTGAGATTTTCTCTTAAAATAAAGGTCTTGGCTTTTTTATTCCTGTCACATTCATTTAATGTATCTTCAAAATATCTAATTATGCTTGGAACACAGCTCTAACTTCATCGTGTGACGTAATATTGGGATTTTGGGGACAAAAACACCGTTTTTATACACCTGATTTTCTCAGGCACCTGGACCGCTATAAACTTGCTTTTGATGGAATTATAACACTTGAACAAAGTACTACAGCATGGAGTCAGGGATTTTTCTTCAGACACTTATTGTTGATTTTATCTATAAAAACGTGAAATTACATCAAAATTTTAGGGAATTTTCACTTTCAAAGTCTATAAATTAGAAAAGAGAGGATCAATCAAAATTTCTTAAAAAGCACTTTTAGAGCATACTGTTCATAATTAGCATGGTGAGTTTGGTCTCCCTCAGGTGTACAGGTTGATAGTTATAGCTTGGTAAGATAACGCTATCTCGTCAATATTGAAAGCAAAGAAAACGAGCAAAAACCCTTTCAGTGAAGTTAATTGTCCATATTAGCAAGTTAAATTGTTGACAGCTTTACCTGTTATCGTTCTGACGATCGCGAAGATGGGTACTCTTTTGCCGGTTGAAATTAGCTTGTTTGCATGTATTTGGATGTCAGAAAATCTTATTTTTGTATCAATCTCACCTCCTGTTAGTAACTTCAAGGGGTTATCGCTAGCACCGCCAGAATGATTGACAGGCAATCAAGTAAGCCCTAATGACTCGAGCAATCAGTGGCCACGTCAATTGCCGTCGGGGCAAGTGTTAGGGATGCGCTCTAGGATGTGCACACAATAGCAGCATCGCATGCGGTCTTGTCCACATTTGTCAAGCGAAAAATGGTTCGAAAACACGGTCGTGTTACAGGACGCCGATCGGACCACCAACAAGAGGTAAAGGAAGTTCCAGTTAGATGGACGATTAAGATAAAACTTGTTAAGGTTTCAGGCATTGTTTACCTCAGTTCAATAAAAGTATGCAAGACGGGGGGAGGGGGGTGTCAGAACAATTGTGCCTATACAATTGATACAGAGGATTTGTTCATACAGGTGACTTAAATAAGCAGAGAATTTCTTTATATTCCGTGAAAAATACACTAAATTTATATAAAATAATATCATGGTTGGCCAAAAATGTACGCACAGTGCATCCGTGCGTATGCCTAGTTACCCCCATGTATATTTTTAAAATCTAACACTAAACTGCATCAAGCTGTTGGCGAAAATGGATAGAAAAAATGACGATTGTTGTCACGGGTAGCAAGCAACGGAATTTTCTTCTTTTCTTTTGCGTTTCTCAAAAAGTTAACAAGAAAATCAAAACAACGCATGTAACAACAAGCAATATTCAAGGGAGAACGCGTATTTCGAGCAAATCCAATGTGTCGGAAAAGATTCATCTTAGCGCTGATCACAATCAAGAGAGACTATCAAAACAGCTTAAGCGGAACAATAGGCACTGCTTTGCCGATCGCTGTTTATGACAAAGGGGGCATGGCGCATCCCTGTTCTATTGTTTCCCTAGACGTGCTGATGCTGCTAAGGTCCGCCCACCGAGTTTACACATGCCAACGGCCCTTGACAACGAAGGCGGGGCATAGACCAGGCCACCGGTGCCGATGTGTGCAGCATCAGAATCCTCAGAAAAAACAAGTTTTTTGTTCAAAATGTAAAAATTTTATTCTGTTAAACGTTAGATACACATTTAACCAATAATTAGACATAAAAAACCAAAAATGACGATTTTTAGCTATATTTGGGTACATTCCCACCTTAAACAATGATTTCTACGATTTGATGCCAGGGAATTTTTTGTGAAAGGCTTATGGTTTTATCAGCAAAGCGGCAAAACAATGTTTTTGTTTAATGGAACATTATAATTAGAAGCATGTACCAGATTATAATTCACATTCTAATCATCAACCATGCCAACTTCCATGTTAATATCCTACTTAGTTTAGCAAAAATGTGCATTATCTTGGTTATTAGATTATATGTGATAATTATTTTTTAAAAAATGCTAAAATATTTTTAAAGCGTTAGCTTACAGCCAACCTGGATATTAGTAGATTAATAGGTTGNACACATGCCAACGGCCCTTGACAACGAAGGCGGGGCATAGACCAGGCCACTGGTGCCGATGTGTGCAGCATCAGAATCCTCAGAAAAAACAAATTTTTTGTTCAAAATGTAAAAATTTTATTCTGTTAAACGTTAGATACACATTGAACCAATAATTAGACATAAAAAACCAAAAATGACGATTTTTAGCTATATTTGGGTACATCCCCACCTTAAGTAAGGAATTAATGAAGTTTGTATCTTATTACCCATGACAAATTGAACTACTATAATCCCTACTTTAAAGGCATACAGTGCACCTTACACCTTGAAATAGGTAAAGATTAACTTTCCTGGAAATTATCAAGTGAAAATTTCCCTATAATCACTAAAGAATACCATATACCATTGCCAAAATCACAATCCATAAACACATTTAGGGGTTAATTAGTTTTCTCATTTTGAGTCACTCTTGTAATAGAGATGAAAACTGGACTATCAAACTATCATACTGCTAGGTTGTTCAAACTAACTCCACAGAGAGTCTCATTGAATGCAATCATCTTAACAAATTAACATACCTCCTCTTGTTTCCAACTAATTTGGATGATCATCTGCTTTTCTGTATTCAACTCAATTCCAGAAGGTATTTTAATTTTTTTATCTTATTGCATTTAGTGAGAGTCCCTGTGGAGTCAGCTTGAACTACCTAGCAATATACTTTCATTGTGAGCGCACCCACTGCATAACAGGAAAAAAAAAAAAAAAGAATATGATACTACTTATAAAAATAAAAATAAAATAAAAATTTAGAACTCATTATTGTGTGAATCTTTTCAACAGTTCCCATCTTTTGGATAGGAAATATGATGATGAGAGAAAAAATTGTTGAAATGTCCTGAAGTGATTATTTGGGGCAAAATTTTTAATTTCTTTTTTATTTTGCTATATATATTACTGTCTTACAAGTATTGCAGGCCTTAAATAATATAATTATTCATTAGCATTACATGTGTAAGTAAAAAAGCAGTTTTATTTTACAAGGTCAATAATGTAATAAAAAATTTAGAGCTTCTTCGACCATGTGGTGAATGCCAGTGAGGCCAGTGACACAGAGCATGTAATGGTAATTAACACACAGATATAAATCAGATGTTGTCTGTGGCCAGCCTTGCGTGGGTTTATATATTTATTACCATTAGAGAAGTCATTCAGGTCACATAAAGCTTGACATCACACAAACTTTACTCTCTGATCTTCCACATTAATTTCCATCAATCATGGAGTATAATTAAAATATCTTATTTGACAGTTTACAAAATGACATAAATTGGACCAAACCCAAAGTTGTTGACTGTTAAACAACAAGTCTCATCCTACATCATGCAATTATGAATCACAGATTGGTGAAGAGCTCTCTTCTGATGACATGAACCGATATAGATATCTATAGATAGGATAATTGACTATGAAAAAAAAAATATTATTAATACATATCAGAATATATAATAATAATAATAATAATAATAATAAAATTAAATTAAATAAAAAATAGAAATATTAAATTGGAAAACAGTAAAAATTAATATAAATCAAATGGATTAAAAGAAAATAGTAATAATAGTTTTTAATAAAATGGAAGGAAGGGAGTTTATCGGTTCGGGCCCAATGCCATAAAGTATATACCGTATTTATAAGCAGAATATACTTAGCATTACACTGGTATTGCAACAGCTGCTGGCAGTGCAGGCAAGGGCAATGATGCCGGCAGAAACGGTAAAAATACATCCATATTCACGCTCTTACCTATTGGTGGCGATGTTTTACTGGCTTTCAATGTAAGCGTCATTTCTGCTTGTGTTGCTCTGCACAATATTTTCGTGAATAAACTCTACTTTCACTATAAATTGGCTTTTTCTTCCACCGGGAAGGCTCTCAACAGCGTGATTTCAGAAAGAAACAAGTCCCGCAGTAAACCTATTTGGTCAACTCAGTATGTCAAAAACAATGCCCGAAGTGATTTTGACGAACATCACTAATTTTTTGTGATGAATAAAAATACTTTTAATTTCAAAGGGATAATCAAGAACAGCAGAGAATTTTAGTTGTTGAAAATATTTCTTCGAAACTAAATCAAACCTGTGACCGACTTCCCGTTACCTCAAGAAGGTCAACAGAAGGCAGCATGGAACGTGATACGGACAGCATATCCATCTGTAGATATATTTGTGAGCTATGTGGGACATTTGAGAACTTAAAAGTGTGTGGAAAGTGTAGGTCAACGTACTATTGTTGTCGAGAACACCAGAAAAGTCACTGGAAAGTACACAAGAAGCAATGCTCCTCGTTTGTTCAAACGGAGGGGCAGCACCCAAGACTCTCGTCTTCTCAAGGGAATGCGGGAAGTCGAACGAAAATAGATTTGAGTTCTAATTGTAGGTCAATCGCCGTGAATAACAGTACGGGACAATCGTCACGTCAACCCTTGCTCACTAATGACGATGCTGGGCATCAGTTCGCGTCTATGAATATTCATGAGGGCGATGAAACGTATAAATCCGAAGAAAATTTACAACAAGAACATTTCACTGGTGCTGTGGATTCTAACACTAACAGTGTAGTCGATGTTAAAGAATTAACACCCTTTCTGAATACTTATGGTGCAGACCCTGATCCAAGCCTTGACACTGTCAGCAATATGGCACCTTACGACACATTTGCCATAGATCTTCAGAGACAACAACAAGAACGAAACCGACAGGTTGCTGAACTGGTTGTGAAAGATTTGAATGACTTTGGAATATGTGTAGTAGACAATTTCTTAGGCCAGAAGGGTGATCAGGTATTAGCTGACGTGAAGAAGCTTCAACAAAGTGGTGTATTTCAAGATGGACAGCTTGTTGTATCGCGGAATGAAACGGCAACTGTTAGGGGAGACAAGATAACGTGGGTAGAAGGGACAGAAACTGTGTGCCAGAATATTGGAGACTTGATTTCAAATATGGACACTGTGCTTATGCACTGCGGTGATCGTTTAGGCAAATACCACATTAATGGTAGAACAAAGGTGGGTATTTGTTAAGGAAGAAACACTTGTCTTTCAACTCAAAATTTTTTTTTCCAAACTCAAGAGTCTTGGTAACTTTTGAGTTGAGGACAGTTCAACTAGATTTATGAAATGTTGAAAAGTAACCTAAAAAAACTTTATTGTTAACACTTCTCAAATATAATTGTTTATGTGTTTAACTTTTGGTTGTTTTCCATGATATGACAAAGCAGCATTAAGAATTTTCTCTGCTTTCAGACTAGGCATTTTCTTGTAGAACCTGTAAAATCTTATTTTTACGTCAGTGAATAACAAGTGAATCCTTCGATATCAACCATTAATACTAATGTTAAATTCAACTTATATGTTAATTCAAAATAGTGCATAAAACAGATAAGATGTGAAATGAAGAAATAGATAAATTAATTAAAGTAAACTGAGGGGTTGTGATGAAGTTTCTCAAATCAATATCTTAAATCTTGTGAAGATATCCTGTCCAAATTTATTTTTAAAAAATCAGTTTTCTCCTACTCAGCCCTTTACATACATTCTTTGAAATATTTGTTTACCCCCAGTGCAACCTGCAGGAGTATTTTACTTCTCCCAGAACTGCCTCAACTTGCTCCTTATATTACTTGCCAGTAATTTTTGATAAAAAAATGCACAGCAATATTTTAATCTATATCGATCAGAGGTCATTGTTCAATTTATTTCTGCACTTGGATTCAATGTGTTATACCATTTACAGTTAAATAATTTAGTTCTAAATTACAGGCCGGTCACTTGGCCATGTGTTCTTTGACATCAGGCACTTTTATATATGGAGTTTTATAATTTTCAAGGTATGAATTGAGAAAGCAGCATTGCAGGATATGTCTACATACTAGTAGGAAATACAATGTAGAGACATTTTAAAATGTGTATGGCATACCTTTAATTTTGCCATTCCACCATCAATTCTCACATCTTAATTATGACCTTACACAAATTCTCACAAATCTTAAGACGCCATCCCCATAGACACCATCAGTGTACATAGATTGATCCAACTCTAAGGGGTCTCCCTGAGTGCAATCAGCATTTAAAACTGAATGATACGCCTCATCTCATTTACAAGGTACTCTACTTCACTCAAGGAGGCGTCGTCTTAATCTGTTAAACTGATTGCATTCAGCGCGAGTCTCCGTGGAGTTGGACAGATTCGGTCTTTGGGAACATGCCCTTAGAGATGTTTGTCAGGGGCGGATCCAGAGCTATTTTCTATCAGTCTTCCAAATTATCTTTGTTGATCCATCCTCCAATTTTGACCGTCTTCCGACAGAAAAAAGTGGTGCCCGTCAATGTAAACTTGAAAATCTGACCGTCTTCCGGAAGACCCAGAAGACGACCTCAATCCGCCCCTGTTTGTGCACACAGAAACTTATATATATTTATGTGCACAGGGAAATGTGTGAAGCTGAGATCTTTGAAATGCAAAGTGAGAAAAGGCAGTGTTTTGTAAATTAATTTGATTTGCAGTAGACAACATATGCTAATTAAAGGAAAAATTGAGTCTGTGGCTGATCTTAATCATGTAGCCAACTAAGAAAAGTACTGTACATGTCTGTCAGTCTGCATGTTCTCCGTCCGCAAGCTCATAACTGATTAATTAATTCTGTGGTTTACAGGGTTCTCAGCTTAAACCATCTCGAGCCATGAGTATGTGGACTTGATAAACTGCATGTACGTCAGTCATAATACCTGTGCTTAAACAATGAACAGAATATCAATGAATGAATAGTTACTTCCTTATTGGGTGAATGGCTAAGGTGCTATAGGCAGTAGCAGGAGAAATATCTTTTATTTTGAAAAGCAGAATAAAAGATAGCTCTTTACAATATTTGAAAATGAAGGTGTTTGAATTAAAGGTTTGACATTGTCATGGGCGGACTTAAAATAATTTATGCAGAAATGTAAAGAGGTTCACCTTGTGGTTTGTAAAACTGGAGAAGTAGGGCACGGTGAAAATACTATGGACTACTTTTTATTATTTGTCATTTTTATGGCACACAGACTGGTGGACCACTTTATTTTAAAATAAATATTTCCTGCTTGTTAAGAAGAAAGCTATTCAAATTAAATAGTTTAAATCACAATTTAATCTGGAAAATGAGAATGAAAAAAAAAAAATGCAATAAATGTAATGCTAAGATTGTTTTAGGGCTTAAAATAGTTTTAATTGAAAAAAAAAATAACAATTTCATATTTAGCAACATAGGAGTCAATTGAATTATTAACAAAAAAAGCAATGCGTGATCAAAATTGAATGAGGTCTAACACTCAAATACATGCACTCAAAAATTACATTCTCAAATATCATTTTACCTAGTTTTGTACACAAAAAGTCTTTTTTTTTTTCATGTCAGTTTGGACTATTTAAGTTGATATCTCTCTTTGAAATCAAAAACGTCTCATCTGGTTTACAGAACAGATCCACCTTAGCAAAGTCATGATAAATGCAAAATCTGACAGACTGAAGTCACGTAGCCCGAGCTTTGTGTTGTGTGTACATGCTGAGAGATATGTAGACCATGAGATTAATGGTCGGTTTACTCAAGTTTACCACAACTATCCCGAATGGTCATTGCAAAAACATCAAAGTCATTTTCTTTTATTAGTCTTCAAAGAAGTGGAGTGAATAAATCAGTCACTGGAAATATTTTTCTAGTCTTTATGTGTTTTCTTGCTATACATGATTGAGTTTTGGCAAAGGATTCACACAGTTGGCCTCATAAAGATTTGCTGGGAGTCGAAACTGAACACTTAACCCATTAGTGGGTAAAACCCTGACCATAAGCAAAGTAATAGCTAAAATCTCTGAAATAAATGCTTTTTAAAAGCTAACAATATGGGTCAGTAAATAATGGTCAGGGGTTTAGGGTTTTCATATGGTGGTTTTGTGCGCATGTACTGTAGCAACTCTTGGACTAGATTTATGGAGGGGTAAACATTTACACACACTGTTATGATACTACAGGGTTGACCCTAGAATAGGGACATGATTTAAGGACACGCTTGTTTTTGTTGAATTTTCTTAAGGTAAAGTTTTCAGATATAAATAAAACTAGAGGATGAACTAAAGAAGAAGGACAAGACTTCGATCATTTGTTATTATCAGAAGAGAAGAGAAAAAAATGCCATAAGATATAGCAAAATGTAGGAAAAAGAAGCAGTCCAATATGTAAATAATAGTTTATTAATTGTACTTCACTTATTATCAAACTGTGAAAAATTGTACTATAAATAATGGTATTTTATACACGTTGAAAATGTGTTTTAACTTTAAAAAGTTATATTGTTATGTCAAAATAATACAAAACTACTTATCTTTCCCAATTCAAACCTTAAAACCACAAACCCCCTCAGATATAAGTACCTGATGTCGATATATCTTTGGAAATGTTAGGAAGACCGAGAATAATGATTCACTTAGAACTAAGATATGGTACACAATATCTAAGAGCAGGGACAGGTGGAATAATTTTTCTTGTGGAGGAATAACACAAAATTCCCATATAGAATACTTTGATCTGGCATGAGTCATTTTATAGATGCAACTAATTACTAAAAACTTCTAAAATATATCATTTTAATTATTAAACCATTGAATCATTGAAATATTATTATTGTTATTGAAAAAATGGACTAAAACTTCTGATAGATATAAAGAGAGATAAATTATTAAATGAATCAAAAAGTTTATAAACAAAAACACATAAAAACAATGATACATGAAAGACCTGAATTATAAGATTTGTGTGCATAAGCTCAATAATTATATTATAACATAATAAATTATAATAAACCAATAAGGTTTCCTTTTTTTGTAGTCAAGATTTTTACTTTGTATATGTAACATCAGTTTTTTATTTTAAGAGTTGAAACTTGTTTCAAGTTTACTCCACAAATTGAAAGCAAAATACTGATTTTCTTAAATTAAGCAGTATGTAATTGGCAACTGTTTCACTTAAAGGCATTATCACGGCATTTAAATGTCAGTATATAGATTCATTGAAGTTCACTATTGCTACAAATAACAATCATATAAAGGCTTACAACAATCTTGTTAGTCGCAGTAATTTTTTTTGCCTTTTATTTCAGGCAATGGTTGCTTGCTACCCAGGTCATGGCACAGGCTATGTCAAACATGTCGATAATCCTAATGGAGATGGAAGATGCATTACCTGTATTTATTACCTGAATAAAAATTGGGATCCCAGTGTGAGTAGAACATTTTTTGCCTATTTGTACCCTGTGTGTTTTGTAATGGGCCATTCACAATGAATTTTGTCAACCAGTCAAATGTGCATTAACTCCTCTTGTTTCTGCTTTACTTGTATCATCATAAGCTTTTCAGTGCTAAGGAGGCATGCCATATAAGACTGGGTTCCCATACCTAGATCGATCTAACATGATCGATCCATCTCCGAGGGGTTTCTTGCTTAACTGCTATCAGCTTAAGCGGCTTAGATGTCTGGCATGCCTACTGAAGCTGCTAAATGAAAATTAATTACCCCCTAGCAGCTTCAATAGGTGTGAGAGACATCTAAGTTGGTTAAGTTGGTCGTAATTTAGGGAGAAACCCCTCGGAGATAGATCAATCCACAGTTAATGCGATAGGGTCTAGGAATGGTCCCTTAGTCTGTAAATCCGATTACATTTAGCCAAGAAATCTTTTTCCAACTTTTTGATTCAGAAAAATACCCCGTGGAGTAAGTGTATATCATCTAGGACAACAATATTCATTGTGAACTGTTCCTAAGTCTGCATGTGTCCCTCTCCCCCCCCTCCCCCCCCCAGAATCTACTAGAACTGGCAATCAACCTGTATCACCAGCATGCCTCTGTTGTTTCCACTAGCAGCTAAAACATAATTCTGATCAGTAGAAATTAGTTTCCAGTAAGCTCTGAAAACCAAAATGGCACATGATAAAGTCCTAGTAAATTCCTATGTGTTTGATAAATGACTGATGTGATAGATCAAAGATAGCACTGATTTTTTTTTATAGGTCACAAGGTGTTCATTTATCATGGGGACTGTATTTGTCGTGTCATATTTGTTTTTCGTATCAAACTGGAAACAAACACCATAAAGTGCTGGTAAAATGTGCTATTTACATGTACAGTGCATAAGTGATGGACAAGATGGCATGTGTGAAGTTGGGGAGAGCACTCTAATCATAAAGATGTTGAGATGTAGAAAATTTGCGAGTCCTTCAATTTCACTGACAAAAAAAAGCACTCAGGACTAAATGTGATCATTATGAAGTCCTGTTGACCAACAGTAAATCTTATGATTTGCAACAAATAGCTATGGCAGCTGTCCATCAGACATTGGCAATATTTAGATCTTTTGTCAGTTTGCCAGTCCGAATGACTTCCATTGCTTTAATAGTTTCCACTATGCCTGAATGTTGTAGAACTGTTAGATGATTTTTACACTGATTAATTCAAGTGTTGTTTCTTTGAGTAGGTCGGAGGAACGCTCAGAATTACGCCTGATGGATGTTCAGGGGTTGCCAATATTGAACCAATATTCGACAGATTAATATTTTTCTGGTCAGATCGAAGAAATCCACACCAAGTGATGCCATCATACAGTAGAAGGTGAGTGGTAGACAGACATTAAAGGGATAATAACTCTTTGTTTTAGCCAAAAAATGAATTTTCCTGGAGTAAACCACAATTTTCCCATACTTACCAATAGCTAATGAATCCATTTTTACATTCAAAGTTAGTCCCTGGTTTTTTTCTAAAAAGTTTGGTTTTTTGTTAAAATCACTTAAGAGATTTTAACAGAGTATAGCCATCAATGGAGGTCACGTGGTCCAAAGACAAGCTCAGATATCAGAATAATAGCTATAACTGCCGTTTTTGTGGTAAAACAGAATATATTATATTTCTATGAGTTATTCACAATGTTTTTATTGTGAAATATAGATCTCATACGAAGAGTTATTATCCCTTTAACAGTCAGGTGCCAGTCTGTACTTGTCATTAGCCACTGGTCTGAGGCAATAGACCCAGAGATTAAGGGCTCATTCCCAATGAAACCATCATTCTTCATAAATCGATCCAGATCCGCAGGCACTCTGGCTGAATGCAATCAGTTTAACAGATTAACACACCTCGTCTTGTATCCAACGTAGTCGTTGAATCGCCATCTTTTCTGTATTCTACTCAATGCCAGGAGGAGGTGTGTTAATCTGTTTATCAGTGAGAATCCCTGCAGAGTTTATCTATAGATGTAGAACAATATTTTCATTGGGAATGAGCCCTAAGACAAACAAATAATTTAGTTTTTTTTTTAAATTACAAGATAGCGTAGTTAATTTTGATTTAGAGTCGTAGTTTTATGAGGTCTACTAATCAGAGGGAATAGTGAAAAGAAAAGTTAAGCCCATGCTAAGGTGGTGTATTGCTAAATGGTGTAAGATGGAACAGTGGATTAATTGTGTGACTGTAATCGATACGAGAGATGGAGTTGTTCTAAGATTAATACTTGTATAATATACAATTGCACTGCCTTCTTAAACTAAGCATATAAATCAGTGCAGTACTTTTATGCTGTATTTTCCACAGGGTTTTTAAGGGATGACATCCATTTTGCCACTTTAACAGTTTGCAGTGAAATATCAGTTTGTTTAAAGATCAGCTCTGGTTTATATTGAAATTGAAAATGTTTTGGAAAGACGAGGAAGGAAAAAAGAAAAGATTTTTTTCCCTCTTATTTTATGTGCCATTGGTTCATGTATTTGAAGATTGCTTGTTTATTTGGTTTCTATTTATAATGCTTTGTTGACCTTACTCTCTCTTTACTTGGCAGATATGCAATAACAGTGTGGTATTTTGACGCAGAGGAACGAGCCATGGCCAGAAGGAGGCTAAAACAGGGAGGAAGACTCTGTAAGTTCTGGGAAACTCATTAATAAGACATATAGCTACTTAGTAACTGCACTAAACATGTGCTTAGTGTTAATGTTTAGCATTTCACCCTTTTACAGATATAAGAACTTGTATTGAACAAGGCATAGATTATTTTCTCCTATGAAAAAGGGCTTGAATTACTTTTTGTTAGTGGTATACATTTATGAACAATAATTTTTACCGAAAAACAATAATGGTTAGGATTCATTACTTTAGGTGAATAGACGGAGATAAATGATATAATTGATTGAGTCAGTCTACAGCTATTTATTCAATAAATAACATGGAAAGAGTGTGATTTTAGTGATCCATATAAGAAGAGTAGTAAGCCAAGCTCAGATGGAAAAAAGAAATTAACTATATATAAAAGAAATTAAAGAAAGCTGTGCATTACAATTTGCAACACTACAATGTCTTTAATTGAGAGTCAAAATACTATGATAATACTAGTAGTTAGGTACTAAGGCAGTGGAGAAAACATAACTACCAAGAACAGTAACAATTGCATGTTTACTTAATTAATTAATTTATCAATAACACCAAGATGTGAAATATGTATTTATTAGTGTTGAAGGTCCTTAAATGTTTATAATAGTTGAAATTGATTCTGCTGCTTGAAATTTGAAAATGACCATCAATTTACAAGAATTACTGCTGTCACCTAATTTTTAGTGAATTGGCTTGTATTGTCAATCATCCTAATGGCGAATGCAAAGTATAGATAGTTACATATTGATGTGGAAATGCGAGTCAATAAATGACATTTAAACATACTAAGTGCTCCATAAACTAGGGTTCAGTAATGTCATTATTATTATTATAATGATGATAATTACCATTATTATGTTGTTTTTATTAAATTTTTTAGTGGAGGCAACGAATCCCAAAGAAACATCAGTTCCATTGAATCTGAAGAAGAACAGAAACATCCCTTGAGATGTGGTGACAGCCGAGATGTGGTTGTTGACGAAATTGGCTTTCAGTTGAAAGTTACATTGCACACAGACAACACACTATTGTGGTTCATCTGAGGGTCCCTGATGAAATTTCCTGGATTGGATTACTACAGTGATTCATTACATTAATTTACATAAGATGGGCAACAAGACACATACAGATTCAATCAGGAGATATCGTACAGAGTGACCCCATGATTATTCTCTTGCCTTGCTATAAGATAGCAGAAATATAAATTTGAAATGTATATGAGACATTCGCAGTGAATTTTTCATTTGTTGTTATTGTTGTTTTCAATGCCTGTCTACCTCTGCAACGCAGTGAAACAGCTGGCGGTGAAATCTGAAATGGTTACGTATATAGGCCATTTGATTTGTCATTTTATTTAAGTTAAAGTCATATCGTCATTTTGTTTAACTGAGAATGATAAAATTTGCACTTTTGGGTTCGGTTCGGTGTGTGCATTTGTGCAAGTTACAATGAAAAGAGAGAAAGTGGAGGCTTTTTGTTGTTGATGGTGCTTTAACTTCTAGTCTCTGTAACCAAAAAATGTATTAGTTCAGCAAGGGGCTTCCAGACCATTGTAGCTGCTTATTTATTTATATCATTTTGTCTTGTTGCCTCAGTCTACATACAAAGTAAGGCATCAGCTCCATACATTTGGCATTGGACTAGGAAAAAGGTGAATTTTCAAACATACTAGTTGAAAATTTTAGAACTTGTTTTAGATTTTTTTAATAGACCAAAGATTATAATCTATAGACTGATTTATCTCCAGACCAGTCTACTTTGATGAAGACTAATAGTATTTTGAGGTATTTTAATGCAGGTGACCAGTGAGCTGATGACTGTATTACACTGACTGTTGCTTTACATAAAAGTTTTTATGTAAAAATAATCAATAAGATATTCTGACATTCTGTATTATCATCCAGCTAGTCTGTGAATCATTGTCATTATTTGTCATTTGTTTCATGTATCATATTTTTTTAAATCATCTTTAGGATGTTAAAACTTAAAATTGAAAATTTAATTACATTTCCATTAGACTTCAGTATCTTAGGGGCATTGATGTTATTGATTAAAAATAGGATTGTTCCTGTATAATGGGGCAGATGTATACCAGCAATAAAAGTAGAGGGAAAGATTTGTGACAAAAACTGCGAGGAATAGTCGTATATATATTACCATACATTGTATTCAGCAATTCAGGTATCGTGTCACAGCAAATACATTTTGAACAGTTCGACACTAGTTGATCGTCTATAGTTTTCTATTGTTTGTGTGATTTTTGGCATCTCATAAATTCTTCACTTCTTACAGAATTTAAAGTTGTAAATCTTCTTTTCTTGGTCAAAGATTATCTATTTAGTCTCACATATGAGAACCTATTAACAGTAACGACAAAAGAATTGAGAGCACCATAACTACATGAATTATTTAAAGAGTAGATGATATTTTTGAATTTATTGATATGTCTGAAGATCATATCACCCCCTATGTGTAGAAGTGGCCCAGCAAGGAGCATGTGCTTTGCTAAGTTAATTTAGCAAGGAAGGATTACTTTTGGAGTATTTCTTCCTTTATTTTTTGTGAGGTGTTTATTTTTATTTATTTATTTTTGCAAAATGATAAAGATGTAATGTACAGGAGAGGGATTTTCTAATTTTTTTTTAGCATTCTCTTGCTCCCTCCCTGTGAAGAGATTATTTTTAAAGAAATGTTTCAAGTTGAGAACTGCCCCATATATTCCAATAAGTCCAGTTTGAGGGTGTCAAGAATGCGACACTGCAGTCAAGAGGCTGGTTAAACACGTGATCAGTTAATAAGAGACCTTGTGCAGATAAGACCTTATCACTGAATTACAGTTGATGTAAACATAAATATATACTGTGCAATAATACCATTTCCACTACCTATATTTTAATACAAACCATTGCTTTGTGAAAGTAAATTGTTGTATGAAGATTGTACACATAATAGACGTTCAGTCTTCAGTGTCTTTGAAATCCATGTACATATTAATGTTTAATTGCTCAAATACATGTTTCTAATGAAGAACATCTTGTTCTGATTTTATTTGTTGTGTCACTAAAGAACTCTTAAATTAACTGAGAACAAACCATTTAATACATATCTAATTTTTTAAAAATTTACAAAATTGCTGAATAGGAATATTTTCTCTCATTTGCTATATATGTAGCCACAGAGACCATTCCCAGACCCTATCGTACTAACTGTGGATCGATCTATCTCCAAGGGGATTCTCGCTAAATTGCCATCAACTTAAGCAGCTTAGATATCTGTCAGGCTTTCTGAAGCTGCTAGGGGGTAATTAATGATTAAGCAGCTTCAGTAGACATGCCAGACATAAAGCTGATTAAGCTGAGAGCAATTTAACAAGACCCCCCCCCTCAAAAAAAAAAAAAAAAAAAAAAAAAAAGATGGATTGATCTTGTCAGATCGATCTAGGTATGGGAGCTCGGGTCATAATCCTTGGTCCGAGAAAAAAAAAAAAAAAAACATCTCAGTAGAAATTATCCTTTGCTGTAATTCAATAGATCACAACACATCATTGTGGTAGAGAAGACCTAGCTCATCCAGTATTGTGCTGCACATAATCGTTCCAGGTATCCACATTCCTCAGATGTGAAAAAAAAATTAATATTTAAAACAACAAAAAAGAACAAAACTTCAAGGACAAAAGTCAGACCTTTATTTTTCAATACAATATATGCAAATAGCATTCACCAGCTAGCACCTCAGTACACTGGTGTAAACCTGGCAATGAAATAATCAAGCTATATGTCTACCCTGGACTTGAGCCTTCATGGTGCAGTTATCTACATGGATTTTCTAAAAAATATGTGTTGACCAGTATCTGACCTCAAGTAGGAATCAACATGGGTTCAGGTGATATCAAACAACATGGTATATAATTAAGACAGCATAGCAGTCATATTTAGTTCTCTGAAGGTCACTAGTGGCTATAAATGGGTTTCCTCCCATTTCAGATGTGATATGAACAAGCGTTTGGGCACTGAGTGAGCTATAAGCTATTTATACTTTTTCAAGTATTTACACATAGCAAAAAAGCTGCTCATGTTCTTAAAATCCATGTAGAAAAATCTTGTGCACTGAAAAGATGTACATTCTATAGCGGCATGATTTCAAAAATCCATACCCTGAAAATGGCAGTGAAGAAAATACAGATGATGCAAGTAGTCTAAGCATCTTTTTCTTTTCATTTCTAGCACAAAGTTCACAAAGCGAGTAAAATAAGTTGCCAGGTTTTGTTACCATTAGAAAGGCATCACCAGTGCAAAACACAAAGCACATGTATCTCTGTACAACACATAACAATGAATATTATAGATTTGGCCCCTGGAAGTTATAACATAGACTTGCCAGTTTTTCTGGAGATGAAAACCAACTAAACACCTTTATCCTTTTCTAAGCTTCCAAAATGTTGTTACTTCCAAACATTTTCCCAAATAATCAATCACACAATAACATCAAAATGTTACTCTATAACTGTACTGAAATATTGAGAACTTAAAATAATGACAAACACACAATAAAATCCTAACTTTTTACTCTGTCATAGTGACAATACTGCTGACTTTACATGATTTCTGTTTAATGAGACTATTCTTTCTAAAAAAGCAGAAAATAAACTCTCCAAGTATCAAATGCATAATTTATAAGTTTAAACATAAATATACTCTGTCTACACCTGGGGCTCAAATATACATATAGCACTAAATGATTTGCAATTATAAAACAAGTAACATGGCACATATAAAAATAACATTTGCACTATCTGCATTGGTTACTGAAGCTTTAAGCCATGTAAGCACCAGTGGAGAAAAGGAAGAGACTAGGGGCTCATTCCCATTGAAACTATCGGTCTAAGTAGATAGATCCAGCTCTGCAGGGACTCTTGCTGAATGCAGTCAGTTTAATATGCCTCCTCATGGCAACAAGCCTCCTCATGGCAATGAGCTTCCTCATGGCAACGAGTAGAATATAGAAAAGCTGGTGAGTTTATGAGTATGTGGAAACAAGAGGAGGCATGCTAATACTCTGTTTATATGTCAAACTGATTGCATTCAGTGAGTCCCTGTGGAGTTGGATCAATGTAAGTAGACTTATAATTTCAATGGGAATGAGCCCTATGCTTTTTAAAAGCAGTGAACTTTTGCCGAAGTTCATAGTCACATTCAACCTTAAAATAACATCACAATGAAGCACAACCTGCAAGTTCTAGGAATGACATCCGTGCAATCACAATTCACAAGGTTTAATTTATCAAATTTCAGTCTTTTATATCAAATTTGAACATTAAAAAACTCTTGTTTTTAGAAACATGCAAAGACACATGAGCAAACATATTTGTGGATGGTAAACATTTTAACCTTTCTGATAACAATCTAACTAAAATGTGCTTTAAAAGCTAGAAATAAATAATGCTGTTATTCTGGTAGAAGCAAAACAAAGGAACACACAGAATCCGTCTCTTCTGACAGATGTATGCCATGAATTGAAAAAAATAACATCATACAACCATGTATGGGGTAGCAGCCAATTGGATGACAAATCTGAAGTAAGCTAATATATATTTCACAAAAATTCAACTAAATACATTCCTTTTACTTTACCAAACAATATTTTCATGACTGCAACATTCTAAGTATCAATAAACAAAAAAAAAGTTAATATGAAATTTCATTACGAATATTCAAATTTTGTAGAGCAATTTTTACTTTATAAACAAACAAGGCAGCAAAGCTGTCAAATGTACAGACATAAAACAGAAAATAAAAATGGCAGCGCATAAAATGATATTACATAGCAGCACAACCACTAGTAATTTTTAAAAATGTACTACTGATGTGGAGAAATTCAGAAAATGTTTCTAGCACAAGGTTTCAGGTCCATGGGAAATTGAAGTCACAGCATGAGAATGTCAATGTGCCAAAAAAACTGTATGGAAAATGGTCAAAGTAAAGGCTCTAGGTACAGACACACTACGTCTGTACATAAAAAGCACCCATCACAGCAAATTGATTGATAAATCATAAAATTTCAATCTGACGGTGTGTGTGTGTGAAATCAAAATTGATAATTCTTCAATTCGCCATTTTGCTATGGTAAAACCTTGCCTACAATTATCAAAATAATTCATTCAGTAAGCTAGGCCTAGTTCACACCAAGGAATTTTATGCTATTTAAAAGGAAGCATTTGGTCTTTTTTTTTTGGACAAAAGCATGCATCGATTGCTTCAAAAGTTAGTGTTAAAATCATTGCACAATATTAAACATCACATGGCACAATAAAAGCATCTACAGCGTATCTCAAATACACAAACACAGACACAAACCAAAAGTCAAAAATAATAATAACAATTATAATAATAATGACCTTAATTTTAAAAAGGAACAGGCATGATCAAGAAAAGCAGTGTAGCGGGATGGCAAAGGTGTCAATAGCTTCGAAACCTTCCCGTTTCTTTTTTCCTTCCATGTTAAAAACATTGCACTATCTTCATTACCATCACATGGCACAATAAAAGCCATTATCTCAACCACACAAACATACACAAACACATATACATACACCAAAAGACAATAAGAATAAATGCTGGCCTTAATAGAACAAAGAAGCAGGCATATGATCAAGAAAAGCTGCAGAGATGGCAAAGCTGTCAACGAGGCAAAAGTTCTCTAAATGCAACCTCCTATACGAATAGAACACGCTTAGCTGCAAAATGTTTCAAACAAGTTGCATCATATTGGCAGTCATGTTACGTATTATAATCCAACAGAGTTGCAGCTTTCACACTTTTACATAAAAAGTAATATAAACTAATAACTTCTACGAAGCTGTGTTAAATATATACACTTAACAATCATCAACAAGCAAAGTCTGATAGATAAAATTGTGTAAAGATGTAACAGTTACAAAAAAATCTCATGATAATAGCATAGCACCCTCAACCGTGTGTGCTTGATATGCAAGTTATAACATGGTATATCAAAATAGTAGTATATATATTATACAAGAAATGACTGTACATTTTGGATTTGCTCATATAACAGTAGACATGAAAAACACTTTTTTGATTTTTCCTCATGTTGTGCAAATTTCAGTGCTCCTATTCACCTAGTGTTTTTAAAACTAATTAGAATTCAAGACTAATTTTCTACACATGCTACATGTACATGGCATGATTTGAAAGCCCAAGTTTTCCTGATACTGCTCCAGTTTTAAGGTGAGACAAAATCTTAACCACAATGTTAAAATGAGCATTTGAAGTGACAAGTTGACACAATGCATCTAACAGCAGAGGGGAAAAACTTCACTCTCTAATAAAAGAAAATTGCAGTCTGCATATATCTAAGATATAACTTCCATAAGGATTAAAGAAAAATGTTTGTACTTTCTTGTATCAGGTTGAAGAGAAAAAAAACAAAGATTCACAAAGAAATGTGAAGCATTCTATCAAAATAATTTCAACAAACAAAAATGAGAAGCATAAAACGCAATCAATTTGTGGAGAAATCTTTGCACATTTAACTATTTAACCAACTACAACATTTCTTTCTTCACCACAAACAATACAGAACAATTCTAGGAAAATCTGGGCTAACAGTTTCACAACTCCATGCCCCACCTTAAAAAAATCTACCAAACAATTTCCTAATACCAACCTTATAGGAAATAATAGTAGCTTTTTTATCTTCAATATACACATTTCTTCAAAATAACAAAGTTCATGATATCACAGATTCATAAATAACTAGTCCTCTTCTTCATTCTCTCTTTTACAATCTAAATATAACTGTCATGGCACCTTCAAATCACTAAACCCTTAAATGATTTACTTCTCTCTCTAAATAAAATCGTCCCAACTCTAATGACTAATACAAAACCATATTTATTATATCAATCTTGTGAGACCTGTTGATATAGACAGGTACCAGTGTATCATTGAGCTTGTTCCGACATGTAGACTTCTGGGAACTATTGCGAGTAGCATGAGCAACTGGGAACCATACTGGTAAGTTAGTTTTCTATGAACTCAGACATTCTTTGTTTTCATCTGAAATTTCTTCTTTGTGATTTCAAAAAATTTCAAAGGTGAATTTTGTGAGGGGAGGAATGGTGAAGAGCTGTATGAAATTTATTTCAAATATATCAAGATTTTGCCAAACCTCACCTCTGTATGAAACTGAAAAAAGGAAATAATAGTATGCTTCGATGCAAGATCACACCCACTGGAATATAATTATCATCGTTCCCAGTTGTCACAAAACTCCTCAGTGCTTGAACAGATGAAAAAAAAAGATAAAAACAAGACAACCACATTAGACACAGTCTGAGTAACAACCTGGAGGGTGGGAGTGGAAGGAAAATTACAATTAAGACCATTGGTCCGAATTCTGCTTATCTCGTAGATCACTTCCACCAAAAGAGGTGGTGGCGGCATACGCCCCATGGTGTGCATAGAAGCCAGTTTGGTACTGAGCTGTTAAGGCCATGCTATCGTATCTTGTGCCTGTGTGTGCCGGGGCGGGCGTGGCGCTGGCCTGCCCCTTCATCTGCTGCCCACCGTCCACAAAATAATGTTGTGCAAGGAGCGTGGGATCTGGAAATGGAGACTGGTACTTCTCCTGAGGAGAGACCGAGGAGGGCGGGGTGATGTTGTAATCTGGAAGACCCCCAGGAGGCAGGGGGTGATTGTTAGTATAGTTTGCCATTAGGCCATAGGATGTTGGCACCTGAACAGAGCTGGCAGGAAACGGTACCAGACTAAAAGATGGCTGTTCCTTGTAGGCTCCCTCACCAGGAGGAGTTAGCATCGTTGCCCCCTGGAGGACATTGTCCCCATAGAATGGCGGCCTGGGCGTGTAAATATTTGGCCGAATAACGGATTCCCTATTGGCATAAATATGACGTAGTAAACTGGATGCTGGGAGATTGGATGCAACACCAGAAGGCTGAGAACCTATCCACTGGATTGTGGATTTTTGCTGCTGCTGTTGCTGCTGCTGCTGTTGTTGTTGTTGTTGTAACTTTACCTGCTGTTGTTGTTGTTGCTGCTGCTGTTGCTGCTGTTTCGATGGCAAGGCACCGGATTGTGTAATGGATGACATGTCGTTGTGGAAACCATCTCCATCCGTAGGTAGATGTTTGTTCATGGCTTTCTCGAGATCACGTACTGCATTTCCACCATTTTCATCTTGGTCAGAGAAGGGACTTTGCAATGTCTGCTGTGTTGACTTAAAGTTCTCAGAACTTTTGGTGCTATTTGCCACAGAACCTGGTGTGTTGGGCTGTAGGGGTGGGGACTGTAAGGGGTTGGATCTTGGTCTCAGGGTTAAATCTTCTGGAATGGGAGATTGGATATGTGCAGCAACTTCTGCGGGTGGACTTTGGTCCATATCTGAAGCAACAGATGACATTTGATACTGTTCAGTAGCAGAAGAGTCATTGTCCTGTTTTTGCATCTGCTCTGTTCCTTGGGCACCATTTTCATCATCAAGTCTCGTATTGTTCTGAACCGTACCTGAATACTTATCAAGATGACTCTGGATTTCATCAGCTAACGAACGCTTGCGCTTGCGAGGCTTGTCTAGTTTTCTCCTGGAAATTCTGGTATCCGTTTTATTTGAATCTTCAAAAAATACATCCTCAGATAAAATGTCAACCTCTTTTGTGTTTGATATCTTTTCTAGTGCAGCCTCGGGCGACTGTGTTTCATGACTAGAAGAATGACTTTTCCCAGTTGATGAAGCCTGGCGACTGCCATTCCTGTTAGCACTAGAAGAGGCCACCGTGCCATGAGGAACTACGGAAGGTTCTAAACTGGGAGTATCTTTTTCTCCATTTTTGCCAGGGTCTGAAAATGCAGATAAGATTTTTTTCATTCAAATGCATGAAATATAGTCAATAACACAATATACAAAAATTAAACAAAAATATAAGCCCGAGATTCAATAGGGTTTAGTAATGATAGATGGTTATACTCTTTTTTTTTTTTTTGCAAATTTTAGCCATTTTCAACATCATAATTGGCTAATCATTGCCAAAGTAAACTTCACTTTAAAATCTTTAAAAATATAATTTTTTTAACATTCAAATACTAAATATAAATATACATATAGGTAAATAAGTTGAAATAAGGACACACTGTAAGCCCACCTTGATCAGATCCAGAGTCATTTTCAGAGTGGTCAGACTGGTCAGGATCAGGTGTGAAGACGGTCTTCATCTGACTGGTGTCCATGATGCAGTTGGAATACTCAATACCACTACAAATGAAATGTTTCTACAGTTTTCACATAGTTCTTGTAACAGGGTGTTCTTAAAAATTCTATAACATATGTGCATTTGACATTTAAACAAATAAGCTCCTGAAAATGTCGACAGTTTTCCATTTAATCATCAAGGTATATTTTCAAAACTACTAGGAAAATATGTCTAATACCCAGTTTCTAAATTTTCTTTTTATACTGTTTCAAGTGAAATCCATCAGTCTCCATCTCTATTTAAGACAAGGTTGTTTCTAAATTATTATTTCACTTCAGTCGCTAATAGTCACAAACAGATACTGGGATAGTCAAGGTCTCATTAAATATTAGCAATATGATGTAAACCAATTCAATCTTATCTATGACAGAAAAAAATATCTTCATGCTAGGATCATTACTAGAAACAGTCTTGGCAATCTGATTACCTTAATACCGTATTGACTCCGATGATGGTGCTGATAACTTCATCATTCTTATTCAGTATCATCATCGCACATGTCTGCACCCATACGTAGCCACCATGTTTGTTCAGCATACGGTAGTAGTCTGTCAACACCTGGCCTTTTGACAATACTGGAAACAGCAGACATTGAAAGTTTCAGTAGATTTTATGTTACATAATTTCACATGCACTAGACAGGAATGATGGTAATTAATAATGAAACATAAAAATTCCTGGAACAGAAAAAGTTGTATATTGTTATGTAATGATTTTCATATGGCAGAACATATGCAGCCAACAAACCAACAAATTAATTAATAAATATTGCAAAACAGACATAGTTAATGAGAGTCTTCACCAAAATACTTCTTATTACATCTTTCTTCTACTGCCTGGACAACTGAAAAGGTTGCCATCAACAGTAACTTATGAGCCAAAGTTACAATTCTAACTGACAACATTTTAATATTTTTTTTCCTTTTCTTCAACCAAAATTATTCACTGTGTCATTTGAAACTGTCAAAAACATGAAGTGAAAGAGGGAATGGAGGGGGGATTCCTTTTATTATATATTTAAACACAAGCCAATTCAAATCTTAAGTTCATCACATGGGGTCCCTTTCACAATAAATCTTAGTTCTTAGGCTGAGGTAAGGTTGTTAACATTGGGTGGCTGACTACACCAAGTTGACTTTCCACTTTGACTTGAAGTCTTACGTGAGTGATTTGCCCACGATAAATGTACTAAGTGACATACCCAACTAGGCAACTGACACCCCAGAGAGTGTCAACTTCTGTCACGACAATCACTTGCTCAAGGGTCTTAGTTCAGAAAGAGAAGAGGTCTGTGACATTTAGAATCTTTGTGCAATCCAATTTATCGAAGTCCTAGTGGACTGAAATTTTAGCCCCAAACTGAGAACCAGACCCCAGCTCCAGCTTAGAATGCACTTCAAATATAACAAACACAGGTCAGGCCACACCTTATTCGCATGGAAATTATAATTTTGTTGCCAGGTCACTGCCCTTTTTCAAAACAAAGAAGAAAATCTGGAGATGTGACAATAAACAAGGTTGTCCTTTAACACTTGGTGACACCTTCACCTCATATTTAACAATTGTAGCCTGCAGCATATAGTCCAAAGGGCAATAAATGAATGAATACCCAAATGGCATACGGAACTGCTTGATATTCTGTATACTAACATATTTCTGTATATTAATTACCACAAAGTAATAAAATGCTTTTTGTACATATTATATTCATGTGTGCAATATAAAAAACAGAACAAGAACAATGTTTTGACAAAAAAACTCACAAAAAGTACAAAATTATTTCAAAATGCGAAAAAGAAAATCTTGCTTCAGTAAATAATGTGATAGANAAAAAACAGCATAACTACTAAAATGGTGGCCCGATCATGCCGATTTTCGAACTTGACCTGCGTTTTAGTAAGATTGATTACTCCTGTGAGTTTCATGACAACAGGCCTATCAGTTTTCTTTGAAATGTGTTAACAGTGTTGCATATATGCTGAAAAGTGAAAAAACAGCATTAATTCTACAATAATGGCCCGATCATGCTGATTTTCGAACTTGACCTGCGTTTTATGAATATTCATCAGCTCTGTAAATATAAAGCCAAAAAGTAAAACTGTCTTCCACTTATGGTGTTAACGCTGAAAGTGCACGGCGACGGCGACGGCGACATCGACGGCGACATGAACGGCGACGACAGACGCAGGTGATGGCAATATGTACAGACACATCTGTGTCTGTACATAAAAACAGAACAAGAACAATGTTTTCACAAAAAAACTCACAAAAAGTACAAAATTATTTCAAAATGCGAAAAAGAAAATCTTGCTTCAGTAAATGTGATGGATCCATATTAAATTAAACCTTCTGAATTATTCAACTGTTCAATTAATGAATTTTATCAACAGCAGCCTCTTTATACAGGTCCTGTGCGTGACAGCTTCTTCATATTTAAACCTCCATACGTGCACTAGCTCTTTTTACGCTGACAATCAGTGGTAAGTTTTATTGCAGTTCATTGTGCCAAGCACCAATATGTATCCAGTTTTATATCTGGATGCTAAGGCATGGGGATAAGGGTACATTCACAATGAATCAATTGCACCAGCTACTGCGCACTAACTCCAGGGGGACTCTAGCTGAATGCAATCAGAGTAAGGCCTCCTTGTTTCCAACACACTCATATGAGCACCAACTTTTCTGTATTGTTCTCAATGCCAGGAGTTTGCATGTTAATAAGCGAGAGAGTCCTTGCGGAGTTGGTGTGGCAATATCTAGGTCGATAAATTCATTGTGAACTGGCTCTAAGTGAAAAGATGGGTCTAACATCTGATTGGTATGGTAAAGTTCTATCAAATGTCGTTGAAGTTAAGACACAATAAAGACGATTTGTATGGAAAATTAGAAATGAAGAAGCTGGTATACATCATGCTAACACTGTACTGCAACTGTCGCACTCACAATCTACATGAGATTTCCGAATCCTCTTCAAATCTTCTGCATGAATGAAATCATAAAGACTCCTGTTGTTGAGATCATCTGGAGATATGTTCATCAATTCACTAATTCTGGAAATAATTGAGAAAAAATAAATCTGAATATTTTTTTTTCTGTATAAAACTTAATTTCAATTTTAATGCAGTTCTTGAAAATGTCTTTTATATCTCTTAAAACAATATATGGTATTATTCTGTACAATATAAGTGCTACATCAAACTTTTAGTTGTAATTATTAATATCATTGTTTTAATGATTACAAGTGTGAAAACATGATTTTGATTTTTGTAAATGTGTATTTACTGTTATGGCAATTTTTACTGATGCTGTGACTATAATATAATACATATAATACATTAGACTGAACTTGTGATAGAGATCCAAAAACAATAAAACTGAGAAAAATACCCACAGAGTTAACAGCTGGACTCTCTCTAGTCACTAAATTTTAGCCAAATGTTCAAATTGGTTAAGGAAGAGGTAATATATTTACCCTTTTTTGCCAAATGTACCACTGGTTAAGATTTAGAAATAAGCTATAATTTGATTAAGTTAAAAACACCCAGATCTTGCTATTCCAGGGAGAGTCCAGAGCAGAGTAAACAGTGTTACTACAAGAGTTGTAAACATCTACACATCTTAGAAGTCAAATGTCCAAATTTAATAAATTTCAAAAACACCTTGAAGTTTGTTCAAAGGCCATAATTAGTGACAAGTAGCAAGAACGATATTGAAAAACTGTAAAAGAAAATCTGTACTATGAAAATAATATTCACAATGAAGTTGTACACATTCTACTTTTTGCTCCACTTACTTTGGTTCACAATAAGAAACAGTAAAGTCTAAACCAAGTCTCGTCACAAATGTGTCGTTCTCCATCCGTAATTCACTTATAGTTGGAGGTGGCAGCGCCAGTGCTATGCCAACAATTCCAATAAGGTGCGGGGGATGCTTCCTATTAACGGAGAAACTGAACTGTGGCCGCATATGAGCAAGTATATGGACTACCTGGTGAAAAAAACAGCATTTTTTATGACATCGGAATTCATTAAGTCAGAAAGCAGCAATTATTTTTACTACAAAATTAAGTAGGTAAAAAAAAAACATATTGAAGTACACATAAGTATATTGCAGTGATTTTTGACAACAAATGAATGGTAGAAGAGAGAGGTGTGTGGCACTACTTGTACTGTGTACCACCAGCAAACAAATTAATGAATCGAAAATGCACTTTATCAGATTTCTTTGGCTTTGAAAGATGAAGTCTCTTATGTGAAGTTATGAGAAGCAAATGACTTCATCTGGATGTACTGCAAACCAACAAAAATATTACAAATCTAAATTAACAAGACATAAGGGATGGAACAAAACTTGCAACGTGACAATTTTTTCCTTTTGCTTTTCAATCATAACACATTCTTACTCTATATCCAGATGTTTTAACATGTACACCTCTCTTAGTTAGTGTGGATTTCATACGAATACTGAAGGATCTGTCAAAACCTTTGCTTAGGTTAGGGGTCATGATACCAGCTGGAAAAGATACAGAGATAAGATTATAACATTTGCTGTAATACTTCTGCTGAAATGCTTTCAGGCTCAATTACTGATGTTCTTATATTCTAAATGAAGTAAGATATCTACTGATATTAGGGTGAAATCAACTTTTAATTTAAAAAGAGATAATCAAAAAAGAATTGCTTTAAAATAAGCTCAGAATAATTGTGATGTGGTCTTTATTTTAGATGATATGAAGATGTTTCTTGATATTTGGGTTGACTATACATTCTGATAATAACTAATTTACACTGAATTACAAAAATATTGTATTTTGGATGACTGACAATTAATCTTAACAATTTTGTTTCAATTCATTCCCCCTGCATACCTCGTTCATGTAAGGGAGAAGTTATGGTTGGCGTCCCTGCAGTGGAAGATGAGTCGTCTGATGTGGAGCCACCAGAGGGCGTTCCTTGTGGTGGATTGAGACCAAACTGATCTGAGAGCTCAGAGTGATCCTGCTGGTGTATGTAATCAAAGATGCTGCTGCCTGTCATCTCCACCTGATACATAGATACAGAGAACTAATGTAGATGTCAGTTGATGTGAGAAAAAAAACCTCTACAAGACTCTCAGTGATAGGGATCAATTTTTCATGAATATTCTTTCTTTTAAAAACTACAGCAACTTTCATTTTTGAAAAGCAACTTTCATTTTTGAAAACCTGTTTTATGTCCTTTCTTCAACCTTCCTATTAATAATGCTACATAGTGGTAAATGAAGTAACATCATGATGGAGCATCTTACCTGTGAGAGCCCCAGATAAATGGAAACGGTTTCTGATATATAGAGAAATCTTCCATCATTTGTTAAAGAAAAACCAAAACCATCCAGGGACTGTAATGTAAAAGTCTATAATAAATGTAATATTCAGTATATGTTAGATTTTGCAACTTTAGGACTTATTAAATTTATCAATTGGATATAAAAAAGGTTAAATGTCATGGAAATGGCGAAATCAGAAAAACAA